CGCCTCGTCCAGCAACACGATAGGCCTATAGGCCGCGACCGAATCGGCAGGCCGTCCCGGCTTCTGCAGCAGGACCAGCTTCCCGCATTTCCAGCGCTCAGGGAAGCGTCCGGACGCCAGGCTAGCGTCCAACACCCCCCTGAGGTGGTCCGACATGTAGTCGAGGGCTCGGGCCATCACTCGGGCTGGAACCCCGTCCGGCCCGGGGGCGGTGTTCTTGGATCGAATCCGTAGAACAGCCGCCCCCAACTCCGATTCCCTGACGGGCGGAACATCAACCTCGCTGACCCTGTCGCCTTCGGCTGATGCAGCCATCGACGGGGGTGTGTGCTCCGCCCGCTGCGGGAATAGGCCCTCGACCACTTCCTGCAGGAAGCTGGGTTGGAGAGTCTCCGTAAGGGGGGGGCCCGACGTGCGGAGCTTTTGACGCACCGCACGATAAGGGCGACCCCAGGGGTCACGCTCGAGACTCTCCAGCATCTCCTCTACACGCATCCTTGGCGCGGCAGATGGCCAGCCTCAGAGTTTTCCGAGCTTCTCGGTACTCCTCATGAAGCCGGTCCACCTCCTCACCGACCCCGCGGTGACGTCGCCGACTACGGGTGAGGGACCTCCGGGCACGTACACAGGCCGCACGGAGGTCCGCCAACTCCTGGGACCACCAGTAGACCTCCTTCCTTGGAGGCCGACAACCACGAACGCGGGGCATGGCCGCATCGCAAATCTGCGTAATCGCATTGCAGAAGCGACCAGCCCCCATGTCGACCTCCTCGGTCGGGGCCTGCGGAGACAGCCAAGAGTAAATAATGGCCGCCTCCTCTAGTAGGTCCCTGTCGAGCTTGGCGACAGCCCACCGCGGGAAGGGCGCCGCGCCGCGTGACCCCTACTGGGGTCCTGGGACCGGGAGAGCTCGAATCGGATGTATAAATGATCCGAGAGCGTCTCGACCTCTTCCAGGACACACCAGTTCCTTACTCGTGCGGCGACTGCAGGGGTAGCGAACGAAAGGTCCACTATCGACCCCCCCTGCTGTCGCACGCACGTGTTGGTGGAGCCTCTGTTCAGCAAACAGAGGCCCACCGACGCCGCCCACTCCTCGACGGCTTCGCCCCTGGCGTCCGTCGCAGGGGAACCCCACGGAATGGACTTTGCGTTGAAGTCCCCCAGCACGAGGACGTGCCCAGACACTAGTCGCCGCATCGAGGCCTCCAAGTTGTTAAGGAAGACCTCGAAGTCGTTCAAACTCCGGTTGGGGGAGAAATAAAATAAAAATAAAATAAAAAATAAAAAAGCCTGTATTTCCGTATCCTTAAATTCCATTTCAAATGTTGGTATTTGTTTGTTAGTGTTTAGTTAGTTATTCATGTTTTTCTTATTGTCTAAATGTTAGTAAGGGTTAGTTTTTTTCTATTTGGATATGGACCCCTCCTCGGGTGAAGGCCTCCTCCAGTTCTTTCCACTCATCTCTGTCCGTGCCGATAGTTTGCCAGTCTTTTCCTATTAATTCGGTTATATCGTCAGCCCATTTTCTTTTTGGTCTCCCTACCCTTCTTTTACCGATTGGCCCTTTCCACTTTGTAGTTTTGATTGTCCACCTGCTGTCTGTGTATCTCGATACGTGACCTGCCCACTGCCACTTCAATTTTAAAGCTTGCGTGAGGGCATCTGTTATCTTTGTTTTCTGTCTGATTTCCTTGCTCCTGACTTTTTGTATCTTTCTTAAATTTAGGATGCTTCTCTCCATGGCTCTTTGTGTTGTTGTGATCGTTTGTTTTGCTTTTCTTGTGTATATCCAAGTTTGGCAGCCATAGAGTAGACAAGGCAGTATACAGGTGTCTAATACCGTTTTCTTAAGGTTTATCGAGTAGTCTCCTTTTAGAATTTCTTTGAGTGACCAAAATTTCTTCCAAGCTATGTTTGTTCTTCTTTACTCCAGCAGGATCTCGAATAACTTCGCAGCCGGATAAAAAACGAATACAAAATAAGTTGCAACATTTATGTCGTCTAGACAACTATAAGTGCAACAAATATAAAAATATACGCAACAATTACAGAAGCTGGGCAACTAGATATCTATAATATTAAAATGACTATTTTATGTCCGTTTGGAAATATAAGATATATCCAAAGTTATATCAATGTAAAAGTGGCTCCTCAATCTAAACATCTGAATTGAGGAGCCACCTGGAACACGGAAAGTATTTAATTAATATTTTTGAAAGTTTTGTGTCATTTAGTAGTAATTGTGTATAGTGCCTACTAAAACTCTAAATCCAGGACTTGATATTCAAGAATATACAGTACTTTTAATATGGCTCTTCAATCTATATTTAAGAGCGTAAATTGCCTTGATAGTAATAGGTCAAAATTTATATTCAACTTCAAAAGCATTTAGTAGCAAATGTGTTTGCATTTGTAGCATCAGGAGAAAGTAGTATCCTGACTAGATCCTGACGTTCTGCATAATTAATAATCGACTGTACCTACCTGAGATCACAACAGAAACACTAACATTTAGTATAAATGTCTACTAAATAAATATGTAGATACAGATCAATGTTGTAAATACTCGTATTCGGTATCTGAAAAACAAATTAGTTTTGATATTCCTTATGAATTTTCTATTTAGGGTGACCATGCCAAAATGTGAAAACACAAGGAATACTTTTTGAAATTTAATTTTCAACAAATCATCAATTATCAAAACATAGGAATGTACAGAAATTCTTAACTTAGAAGTATTTATTAATCAATTTTGACATAAGTTATACAATGAATTAATATTAGTTGGTCGGTGCTTTGACGAATTTTCACAATAAAATACAAAAGTAATAACTCACTACGTCTGCAATAACTATGTATCAGTGTTGAGATACTGACTCTTGTGTCGTGGTGTATAGTGATAGTGAGCTCAATGAATATTATTGGAGTTAAGTAGGTAACCACATTAATTTGCAGTTACCTAAAAATAATTAGATTAAAAAAAGTAAGACTTGTGTACGAAACGGAACGAAAAAATACCTTTCATATAAGTTATTCATGGACACTTAAAAAAGATTGTTAGGAAATTAAGGAATAGCTAATAACTTCGTGGATACTGTACTTTTTTATGACAGGATTATACGTACATTTAGTATAAATTTATACAAAATATAGATGTTTTATGTTCCACATTTCGTTACAAGTATAAGTATATTAGAGTCAAATCTATTTACCGAAGCATCTTAACTGAGGAGCCAGTTTAAATGGGCCATACCTCGCAATTCACTCATTTTTAATTACTGACTTTATACTTACCAGTAAATGATGAGGAAATTAAGCATCAATTGAAGGACTGCTTCTTTGAAAAATGATAGTCGTATGTATGGCCTGAGGAGCCACATTTTATGTATGGTAACTTTTTAATTTTAACATTACCGAGCTCAGATTTTGTCTAGTAACTTTTTTTTTTTTCTTTTTTTATTGTTAAAAAAGACAACTCCCGCATTAGGAATATATCCTGTGTCGCGGGGGACTTTACGAACATACATGAAACGGACACAAAGAACACCCAGACCCAGAACAACAATTTGTGCATCACACAAAGTGTCGTCCCATGTGGGGTTTGAACCCACAACACTTGGCGTAGTAGGAAGCCGCGTGGCGACTGCTTAAACCACTATGCCATCCGTGCAGTCAAAACTACTCTTAGATACTTTAAAAGCATACTAAATTATGATAAATATACATCCATTAGGTACATAGTTCTGACGTGGCTCCTCAATCTAAATGTTTGGATTGCCACCTTTATAGTCATATAACTTTAAGTGTATTATACTACAAAATCGAGGACCGAGGCTTCATTTTTTTTTTAATTTACTACTAAATAATAATATTATTAAGATATGAAAAGTGGCTCCTCAATCCTAACGGACACACTATTTTCGACATTATTTTGCTGGGGTAACGCACACGCTTGGGTAACTTCTAATGCTGAAGTAAGCTCTTCTTGCATTTGGCACGAATCCTGCGCAATATCTCCCAGTCTTCTAAGCCTTTCGCCTTCTTTCACGCGGACAGTCTTCAACATCAAAATCAAGGGCCGCCATCGTGTTTGAAGCGCCGGAACCAATTATGGCATTTTGTTTTACTGAGAAAATCAAATCTCCATATTCTTTTGGGAGCTGTAATTTTTCTACACATGAAAGAAGAATATTTACACTTCCTTGAATGACTATTATTTTGAAGTAACTCATGTCAAAATGATTTGTTTACCACATATGTGTAAGGTAGATTCGTGATAGTTTGAATATGTTAATATCGACCAGGGGCCTATTTAATAAACGCGACAATGATAGGTGACAGGCGACAATTTGTCAATTTTTTGTTTAATAAGATCATCACTGACAAAGTTGTCACGGTGGAAAATCTACAAATACCTATGTCGACTTGTCGTTACAATTTGATGCAAACGCTTGGCAAGTCCCGACAGTCCGGGCTATTGTTGCTTTTTGACACATATCAAAAGAAACTTACCTCAAGTGCTTGGGAGGTATTTTACATCTTGTTGCGTGTTAGTGTCGCTGTTTATATTTTGAAAAAAAAATGCCATGCCAAAGTCCGGAACACACTAGCATACCGCATTTTTAGTTTGTCAATTTTGTGAGTACCACCTACGATAGACGTGCTAAATTTTTTAGTAAATTATACTATTTCGTGACATCATGACAATTCAGGCTCTACTTCAAGATGTTACATTTAATGATTCAGTCGAAATATTTTTTTATACCGTATCTACCGTATTGTCATGTCACATTTTATTAAAACTGTACTTATCGCGATAATATGACTTAATAAATCAAAAACTGACAAAAATGTCGGTTTGTCACGTTTATCGAATAGGCCCATGTACTTACTATTCATAATTTAATAGCTGGCTCCTTATTGACGAATAGTGATAACTTAATTGCACACTTATTATTTAGGACCCTTTAATTTAATTTTCAAATTATCTGTTCAAGGATTGAAAGAACGATTGGAAAGAGAACTTCTTGAAATGCGACCTTTCCAGTCCACCCATAAAGTTATAATGGCGAAAAATCCCAGCCTGGATGCTTGGTATGGCGCCAGAGATTTTGCTGGTAGCAACGAGTTTGAATCCTGGTGCATTTCGAAGGAAGAATATTACGAGATGGGCGGGGAATATTTGAAAGATCATTACGCAAGTAACAAGTATTACAAAAGTCCCGCTCCGATAATTGATAACACACTTGCGCCTTCGGTGGATGCAAACGTTGTGAAAGAAGAAATTGTTGTTGATTGCTAGATTTAAGGTATTAAATAAACTTGTATTTTTTTGCAAAAATTGAAGTTATTATTTAAAGAATCAATTCACCATGACTTTGCTACTTCTTACATAAATGTACTTAAAAAAATACAATATACCTACATTTTTTAGAAAAACATATAAACTTACTTTAATATATATTTAATAAGGGTAAATTAAAAACAAAAGGGAGTTGAAGAAAACAAAATGAATAGCCACAAATATCATGGCACGTTTATTTTTTTCCACTACATGGCGACTTCTAAAAGAATCGTGACTTGTTATTTTGCATTCATATAGTTTTTTTTTTATTAGAACTCTGCAAAACGAGCACTAAAAGAATAATTTTACAATGTATATTTTCCATAAAATTAAAATATAAACTCTGTATTTATTTTGATCTCAATATAAATCACTATGAACTGAAAAAAATTAAAAGTTTTGTTAGTTCTCTAATAATAATATTGATTGATGAGACTATAATAAAGAGTACATTTAAAAAATCACATTAAAGCATATATATAATGCTGACTACATAAATGCTCTGACAGCCTCTCCCTACCGCTACGCTAGCACTACCTCACGTTGCAGATTGTATACTCAAAGTATCAACAATAAACAATATGAAACTCCAGTTCTATCAACCAAACCAATATAATTATAATATTAAATTTATCACAATCATTTCAGACTACAAAGAATAACTAAATAAATCACCTGTAAAGGAGGCTGTGAGAGCTATAATCACGTGCAATGTAAATGTAATACACCACAATTAACAAATCTAACTTATTTCAAAATATAAACTAGCCTAAAAATTTTAACAATAAAAAGAAAAAAAACGGTTTTTGTTAAAATATTGGTCATCAAAACTCTGAAGAGCTATAACTAAATGACCGTATAAATAATCATCATGCCATGATGTTTGTTTATTGGTATTTTTAATAAAAATTGCACTCAAAGGGATGTAAATAACTCCAAAATTTGGTAAAGTGTGGCTTTTAGCCAAGTAGTTTGTTTAGAAATAGTATAAAACCAGTGACTTAGAAATAGCTCTCAGCATATAAAAAAAGTTAAAATCCTTAGGCTGTACTCTCGTATGATTATAATGTAAGCAACGCAATATGTTGGCAAAGCGGAAGTTCACGTAAATCTAACGATACAATAGAACTAAATATTTATGTACCTTAGACATTATGATTACACAAGGCTCACTGTTATTCCATAAAACTACCACGATCAAGTATAGTGTAATGGTCGGTGGCTGACGGCCCCCTAGACTAGTAGCCTGCCTCCACACGGGAAGTATACGTTTTACATTCGCGGATAAGGATATGTACGATTTCTTAACAAAAACTCCAAACGGCTTACAAAGAAACTGGTTGGTCTTTCAACCACAAACACTCAGATGTTAACAACAAAATAACAACAAACACAATCTAACACTGCCAATAATTTGTGTGAGTATTCTTTTAACGTTGTGAATTCCTCAGTCTTTTCTACGGTTCAAAAATAAGTAGGCAAAGAGAAAACTCATACTTTTTTTGTGATTACGTAAATTCAAAGGGTTCAATATTCACTTCTTAACATATAGGTTAACTAACATCGGTATGTAAAATAGTTAAACAGTGAAGAGAAGCAACTCGCAAGTCAAACGTATACTTAGCAGCTCTTAGAAATCAATGTGCGAACTGCCTTCTTCACTGCTTATTATAGGGTCCTCGCGCCTTACGAAACATATTTATTGAGAAAAACTTCTCCTATTCCTTATAAATATACGAATTTTACTCTGTTTTATGGATTGAGAAAGCAGAGCATATCGCGTAATAGACGAGGACCGTTCGTCCTCAGCTCTCCTATACACTCCCTTGGGGTGAAGTAACGATAGTAAATGTTAATATAATAATAAAGGTAAAACAATCATAAAGACAGTGAACATAATATAATAATAACAAAAATATATTACTACTAATTCTAGAATTCAAAGAGAAACAATCACCCGGGGCGAGTGATCGGATAACTGAGGCGCTACCAATATCATTATATAATGTATATGTATTTATGTACCTAGGTCACTATGTTGGTGTTTCTATTTCCATTCATAATAACTATGGATAATAATAATAAGGTAATCAGCATTGGAAAGCACCTAATATGCGTTGTCCTGACCAATGCTGTTACATACAAACTATTGATAACTATGTTTTTTTTTAAATTTCAATGGTGATACTTTAAATGGTAGCTGAAAGTTTATACTACTTGTTAAACCCAAGTTCTAGTTTCTCTAAATAATACTGTTATCAATGGCTTGGTAAGAAACTTACTAAAACGTTTAAGAATTTATAATATACGGAAAGGTTACAGTTAATAGTTGTTACTCTTACATTTTGTGGCAACTAAATGCATCCTCTTATTATTTTACTTTATCTTAACATACGGTGTACATACTTTTTTTTAAATGATAATGGATATTGGCCTATTTTTTCATGTTTTTTTTTCAAATACAGAACTATCAAAATATAAAAAAATATTGAGGACTATCAAACAACATTCATATGTATATATTATTATTATATGTATACTTATGTACATCTACAAGAAATTTTGATCATCATAGTACCAAAGTATAGTTCTGCGCTAAATCTAACATTAATTCCAATTATCTTTTCAGTTCGATATTTGTTGTGACTGTAGAATGACACATTTCTACGAACATTATTTTTTTTACTTTTAAATGGTTTCTCTTCGATATACTTGAATAAATAAACCCTACCGATATTTATTTACATTTGCTGAACCAGCACATGGACACACACATTGTGGAAATAAAATATAGTATCGAAAGTAACACAACACGGGAAGTCGTAAAACAACGGGTTTAAAATGTCGGTATAACACTATGACGATATTACAAGAACTCTTACAATATTTTATTTCCAGTTCTACCCTGACCTGCAGACTTAACTAAACTTACACTACCACATCATTTACATAGAAATGGCACCAATCTATCTTTGATATCAATAATGGCAAACCATAAGGAACCCCCGCAGCGGACACTAGCTGCACTGCACAGTGCAAAAGAACTGTCTCAAGGTATTGGAAGACTACTGCACTATATCTATTCATAATCACTATTACTTGAAAACAGTACTGGAAATAAAGTTCTGCTTCTCGTCTAAATACCTTCGCTATATAGATACGGCAATATTCTAAATGGGTAAATAAATATGTACGATGTTTTTATGAGTCTACCCTTAACATGAATATTAAATTTTGTCCGAAATTAGAAAATATAATGAGGTTTTATCAATGGTGTTATGATTGATATTGCCTAAAGTCGCTATCCGCTAGAAGGCACACAAAGTTTAGTAAGAAGCTTCACAAATTATGCTCTCTGTTAGTGCAGCGCCCACGAGACCCAACACGACACAACAAACAGTACGCTCATACGTTACCGCGAGCACACTATGACGTACTGTGGGCGATGCCCATTACCTACACACATTGAACACTGAACATAATTTATATTGAACGTAAAACGTTTAAAAAATATTGCCAATTTTATGTTGCAACAGGCACTTTTCTGGATTACTCCAATAAACATCATATTAAAAGTTATTAATTTTGTGAAGCTTTCATGCCTCTCAGGATTCGGCTAGTTTATGGAATTATTTGTACTTCTTATTTACTATTATTATTATATGAACCTGACTTTTACTTTCTTACGGATTAATATTGAGGAGTATCAACTATAGTTCTTTACATTATCAGCGATCAAAATACTTTACCTCTCGTCGGTAACAGTTCTATATAAAATTACTGAACTTCCATATACACTGACACGTCCTAAGTTAAAGCATCGCAATAAGATATTGTTACATTTCACTACGACTAATGAAGGATGGGATGACGATGACAAGCGAATGACGAACATTAAAATTTAGAATTTTAAAGTTGGAGATTTACCATTTACGCTTCCAAAATTTATCACTAAGCAAATTAGAATATGAGATCAAAAATTTTAGGCCTACAATCTATCATGATGAGACTTTTAAGTAAGTGTTGATTTATGAACGCCACCACGAAAATTAATATAATCATGTGATGGTATAGATAAATCACAGTTGTAGGTATAAATCACAATGCATATTATTATAGGCGGTACCGCTACATGACTACTCACTACGTCCTCGTCTCTATTGTGATGTCCACCTGGTGTCATCGAGGGATTCCACAAGCTCAACGAAACCGACTCGATTATGCACTCTGCCACTCCGAACACGACACGGTACGATCCAGCGCTGCCATGATCCTTGCTCGTATACGGCCGACCAAATCAACAGTAGATAAATAAATAAATCGTCGTAAAATAAACATATAACGCATGAGTCCATGCTGACGATCCTGCTGCCTGACTTCTATCTTCCTTTTCATATATACTTAATAATCATGAAATATAGCTGCTCTGCTCTTGTTGATGGCTGCCAAATATTTAATATTGCACTTTGGCTGCTCGCTAATCAAGAGCTGTAATAAAGGGCGTTACGTGTTACAACTCGTAGCCAACAACTTACATTCAATTATATTATTGATGCAAATATTTATTACCTGTTTTGGTGATCAATCTGCAAGATGTAACTGACCAGACATCTGCGGTTGGGGCGTAGGAGTATGCGAGGGAGGGGGCGATGCTGCAAAAAAGGTGTTCATTAGATATAGCCGTATTGTTTCTAAATAGATTAATTCGTAACTTCGTGTTAGAATATATAAAATGAAAAAAAAAAAAAGCCTTTAGAAACCTTCGAGACAAATAATTTAAATAAGTAGTGCTACTTACAAATAGATGCGATTGACTGAGGTGACATCGCTGACATTTTGCTCGTGTCTTGCATGGACACTTGCGTTCCCTGGGATGTCATGTAGCGATTTACCATTGGTACAAAGCTGCAGAAGAAAAAAATTGAATTAGTCCGTGAATTGACTGGATTTTAAACGGTGTCATTAAAGATTATGATTCCATGTATAATTAGTTATATTACACAACTTATATAATACATCTAATTACTATAAATTTCACGATCGTTAACAATAGTTTTAGTATTGGTACGATGTAATAAATCGGAGATAATATTTTAGTAAGTCCTGTAATCGAAATTCATGAAATAAAACGAATGGAGGATATACGGTAGATACTTGTTGTTGTATTTGCTCTATATATAAAACAATACAGTAATTGTTAATTCTATAAAAATCTATAAAAATAAAGTTGGTCCATATCGGATGGTTCATCACTAGTTTTATTATAAAAATGAAATTTAATTTATAGTAAACTTAATGTAATAATGTTTCATTTAAAGTATAATTTTCATAGGACGATGGTCAGTTAGCTGGTACAAAGTAAGGTACCTTAAGTCACAAACGCCCGGCGAGTCGAAGCCGCCGTTATTTGAGTTGTTGGTGTTGGTAGCGATCGATGTCCCCATGCTGTTTGCTGACACGTTGCTGTGGTTCTCGCGGTGGACACGGTTGTGGTGTCTGGGGGCAAAATATTTTAATAGCCCACAGTCCACAAACGTTACGCTGAACTTTGTCTTTCTTGCTAACTAGTTTAATACATCGGTGGCTCAATTCTGTAACGTATGCGAGTGCTAGCGATGGCCTGAATTTGAATAGAGATCAGTATTGTAAACAATATAAGGTGCTAGGGTAAATGTGGCGGCTTTTATCAAGACATTTTTTTACTGTTGGATGCTCAAACTGTTGCTTAATATATATGTAGTGTTTATTGTTATTTGTGTGTAGTGTAGTACAAAAAATGGTTCTTGGTATTAACATTGTGCTGACGACTGACTACATGATATAATAGAAACATCTGTTGTATTGTCTGGTTGTTAGCATTGTCTTTATTTAATGTTGTGTTTATTGTGTTTTTATTTTCTTTGTATTTATTTTAAATTCATTTACTTATTTGATTTTTTTGTTTTTGTTTACTCATGTTCATGTTTGTATCTGCTTATGCTTGTATTTGTATCAGAATGGGTTGAATGTAATCATATATATGACCTATATGTGATCGCATATCGTATCACGTATCACATGACCTGTCACTTAGACCAGTATTGTATTGTTAGCAACATGAACACACGTTTGTATTAACCATAAATTTATTAGTCTGTAAGCCTTCTTCAAAAGTAAATAATATATATAATATACTCCTGCGCCAAACTGTTACTTTATTATATCTAATCATTTCTAAAACAGGCTTTAGGAAACGATCATTAAATAAATTATGTATGTTTGAATGTATGTAAATTTTGTATCTCTAAGTTTTATTATATGTTTAATTAATTATAATAATAATAATTATTTATTTCACAGTCGGAATCGGAATCGGAGTCGGAGTCGGAATTTCAGAACGGATACAAAATACTACCACTTTTAACAAGTAACATTGTTGAACCTTTGAACGACGACAACGAAGAGAAATGCAGTAGGTAATACCGACTAGGACTTGATAAAATGACATCTTAGATATTACACCGTATTTCTAGTATAGGAAAATACCTTATTAGATAGCTATCCCTCACGAAGGATCGTCCACACACGCTGCACTCGTAGCATGAGCCGGACGAGTGGGTGCGGATATGCAGCGCGAACTGGGACTTGGATGTGAACGTCATCGAGCACCGGTCGCAGTTCAACGGCTTATCCGCCACGTGAGACCATCTATACACGTATTATATATGATATTACATTATTAGCCTTCAAAAATGTATTACCTAAAGTGTACGGTTATATGCGTAGACTTGCGATCAGGTTAAGATCGACTTCAAAGTTGTAATCCTCTTGTGGGCTCGCATGAGTAGGTATAATTGCAGCTTAACTAGCCGTTCTTTTAAATTTCTATTCCGTTTCTGGTCCTACTGCTTTTAGTGTGAGTTCCAGAGCCTTCATAGAACCTTTCGCAACGTAGAATAGAATAAGCTTTATTGTACACCAGTTCAGTACATTATTCATATATTAGTATTTCAAGTTAATGACCATGTTCAAATGGCGGCCTTATCGCTAAAAGTAATTTCTTACAGGCAACCTTTGGATGGACAAATGCACTGTAAATAGGTAATTTCCTATTCTCCATTCAATTAAGAATTATGTAAGTTTGACTGGTAGTTCCAGAGATTATTGTTTCAAACAATCGAACAAAAACCTTTAGATTTTAAAATATCAGTATAGATCATAATATAGATGTTATAGGTAGGAGAAATGCCGAATACAATGAGTCATCTGAAAAAAACTGTGGATGCAGCCTTTAACTTAAAATTAATTAAATGCATTTAAGAGTTAAAAATTTGTGACAAGGATTAAACGTATTTTACGCCTGATCTGACATAATATGAGATTTCTTTTGTAAAAGTACTCTGTAACCAAATTAAACTCACCTGTGCGCTGTTACATAGCTTTTTACAGCAAACCTTTTCTGACAAATATCACAAGCGTACGGGCGTTCACCTGAAATACCGTACACTTTTTTATAAGTTTTGTCACATACCTAGATATGGAGGTAGGTATATAATAATACGAAGCAATATTGTTTAGGTTATACTTTAAAATCGATGAATGAAAAGCAAGAAAGGCAAATAAAATGTTAGAAAGACGGCAAGATGCAATTAAGTACATATGATGCAGTCTGAAATTAATGAACGTAAGCCAAGAAATTATAATAAATAATACAATAGTGAAACTCAAGCGATGAATGATGTAGCGGATGAAATAATAAATCACGTTTCGTTGTCGGTGCCACATCATTAAGTTCAGAATGACAATATTTTACCACCATATAGCAATTTGCCGTCTTCATAACTAAATGATCTTCTGAGTGCGTTTATTACATTCTTGTCTAGACGAAAAACATTTTATTGATTTTTAATACCGAATATTACGTATTTATCTATGAAGTTGGAGATTCGTATTTTTTTTGATATAATAATAATAAATTTAGGCCAAATTAGGCTAAGCCTGCATTATGGTAACCAGGCTAAATTTTTTATTTTTATTTTAGCCTATCAGGCAGGCCCAAATTATCTATAAAATCTTGCAATTTTGATTGCAGTTTGTTTATCTCTTTACTATAGAAGTCTGCTTGACGGAGACGATGAAATCGGCGAAAAAATTAAAAAAAAATCTAAAAAGAAATTTGTTGGGTCAAGGTCCGTTGAATATGGCGAGGGACGGAGAGCTTATTTATTTATTTTAAACTTAATGCACATATTGTACAAAGGTGGACTTAATGCCATTAGGCATTCTCTCAGTCAACCTTCAGGTGATGTAGAAATACGATGCGGTAGGTGCAAAATAAAATATTAAATCTTCATGCTATAACTCTGGTAGCTTTGCGATGGTCTGCCGTGAATTATGATCTCGCGAGTTGTCGTAGAGAAAGAAGCAATTAGGAAGAACGATTGACCAGTCGTGGTTGTTAAATTGCAAGCCTCCAGCATTGTTTGCAATTCTTGGCAATAGACATCTGTCGTCACTATTGAGCCATTCGGTAAGAGGCTGTAATTTACAAGTCCGTTACTGGGCCACCATACAGTCACCATCATCTTCCTATGGGTAATCTTTTTTTAGTGCACTGATTAAGTGCTGTACTCGGGTCCACCCACTGAGACGATCGCTCACGTTTGTCGTTCAGGATCAACTTTTCATCATTCGTTTTAGAATTCCATCGTTTCGATGCCGATTCAGCAAAGCTATGCATGCTTCGATGCATAAGTCTCGCTGATGGTAGCTTAGGTCGTGTATCGCCCACTTATCTAGCTTTTTATCTTACCGATTTGAGGCAAGTGCTTCAATGTTGTTTTGACACTAACCCCAAAGCCTGCAGCAAGCCCAGCCGTAGATAGAGTTGGCTCCGCTTCCACTTTCACCTTCAATGCGTCGTTGTCGACTATAGTAACCGGCGGCAAGCAGTGTTAGGCCCGTACGCATCGTTAATGTTTCGTGTTGTTTGCGCAGCGGTATTTCTACGTAGGAACACATATTCGAAAGTTGTACGAGTTAACAGCTTACCAATGTCGAAAAAATTACACAATTTCACAAAACCAAAACACTATCCAAAATAAATGACTCAGTTTTAAATTAAAATAACATTTTTTTCGAATAATATTTATTGGAACATGCGCAATACGCGCATCAATCCACAGATAATTAAATCTGAAAATTCTGGTTTTAAAATCTTCAACTTCATAGGCCCCTGTTAATTAATTAAGAAAAAACAGTTTTTTAGCCTAGCCGTGACACCGTTTAACTAGTAACTTATCCACTAATCTCAGGGTATTAAAAAAATTCAATGTTGGTTAGCTAGATTATTTCCAATGTGAATAATTTTCCAAATCCTGTGTGTGGTTATATATTTAAAGTGGAAAATGTATAACATCCTATCTCCTGCAGTTTAAAATTAAATACTAACTATGTCTTGTCTGTAATTCGGAACTTTGTGTTTATTTTATAATATTGTGTACCTATATGTAAAGCCAAGCATGTAAGAGCATGTTTTTCGCCTAGAACAATGTAGTGGTTTATTACCGAAATTTACAAGGAGGAAGTTGTTACGTAGGGAACGCGAGTATTGTCATACCGGTATGAATTCGCTTGTGAATGTTGAGCGTGGATTTCTGCGTGAAGCGTTTGTAACAGACATCGCACTCGAACGGCCTTTCACCCGTGTGTGTGCGCATGTGAATCTCCAGGTACGGCTTGCAAGTGAACGCCGCTGGGCACTCCATACATTGATACGGCCTTCCTTGCACTGACACCCCCGCATCATTAGTTTATATTCATCCATATAAAACATCTATATACATCATTATACTCACGACTACCAATAATACGGTTATGTGGCACCGACAACTTTGAAGTTAAAAATACAAAAACATATTAAGTAAGAAAACATGAAACTGTTTTATGAGTGATCATGAATGTACAAATCAAATTAAAAGGAATTAAAGCGTGCTCAGAGCGTTGTCGACTGACCTGTGTGCGTTCTTTTGTGTATATTGAGTGTAGATTTTTGCGCGAATCTCTTGAGGCATACGTCACACTGGTAAGGCCGCTCCCCGGTATGCGTGCGGTTGTGGATCTCCAAGTACTGCTTGCAAGTGAAAGCGGCGGGGCACTGCAGGCACTGGAACGGGCGGCCCTGCACTGTGGACGACACAACAGTTAGAGGTGGAGGGGCGGCTCCAGCCCGCGTGCACGCTAGTAGCCCACATACTTTTACAGTCCCTAGCGCCCGGCGGCCTCGCCGGCCACCTACGTACCTGAATGAGTCCGCTTGTGAATGTTGAGACTGGATTTCTGAGTGAAGCGTTTGAGGCAGATGTCGCACTGATACGGGCGCTCGCCGGTGTGCGTGCGCGTGTGTATCTCCAGGTATTGCTTGCAGGTGAAGGCGGCGGGGCACGACAGGCACTGGAACGGTCTGCCCTGGACTGGTGCCCAACATATATATTATAGCGGCGGCGAGACCGCAAGGACGCTAGACGCCCTCGCACTACGGAGGTTGCGGCGCGGACCGGTCGCCGTTAGCCGAGGACTCCGCTCCAAATCTTTCTCTAAGAACGTTCTATAGGTAAAAACGCGAGATGCGCATACTAGGGAGAGATTCGGAGGAATGGCGGAGTGCGAGTGGAGAGGCGTGGGGCGGGCGGGCGGCCAGTCCGGCCCGCGGCTGTCACCCACCTGTGTGCGTCCTCTTATGTATATTGAGGCTGGATTTCTGCGTGAAGCGCTTGAGACACGCGTCGCACTGATAGGGCCGCTCGCCTGTATGCGTGCGCATGTGAATGTCCAGGTAGGGGCGGCGGCCGAACGCCGCCGGGCAAAGCCCGCACGCGAAAGGTCGCCCTTGCACTGCGCCCAGTGCACACACAAAAGCGAGTAAGGCACGTCGCCGACGCTTGGCCGCCCGCCCCGCCAATCCGTCCGCATCCCGTCGCTCGCGGCGACCGATTCGACCCAATTTTGTATACCCAATTTTGAATGCACCGCTTTTACGTGCCGAGGTGCCAATAGAGTGCGTCATTGCGGCGATTGCATTACCGCTTTTGTGAATGAATTAATATCCATGAAGAAATGATAAAATGATAAATGCTTAACAACGAGTCGTATGCGGAATGAGTGGGGTAGGAGGGCGAATGACCGGTAGATTATTGATAAGTATGGTAGGCGGGAAATTATAAGTAAATGCAGAAGTACGTAAAGCGCGCGTTTAAATGAGTTAAAGTAGTCGAGATGTTAGTCGGAAGCAACGAGATGGAAGCTATCATAAACAGGAAGAGTAAAACAACGGGTTAGGCGGGCAACGGAAAAATAGGAACGAAGCGTGTCGCTAATGAAATGACTGAATTACGAGTTTTAAGTTAACTCTAATCGCACCGAAAGGAATACTGCGGTTTATTAATATATGTGGGCTACTAACCCGTATGTATTTTTTCGTGCAAATTGAGCGCGCACTTCTGCGTGAAGGACTTGAGGCAGACGGTGCACTGGAACGGCCGCTCCCCTGCGCCGACCAACACACGGACACGGGGGGACAGAGAAACAAAACAAAACCACGATGGACAAATAATTCTACTGCTCTTAGCAACCGATATTTCCAAAAGAGCACTACCATGAGGGAATTTGATCCACGTTTTATATGTTATTTGTCCATCAGACATTCTCTCTCCTATAACTTAACGGTAATCATCACAACGTACACATGCTTTACTTTACTGTTTGTGAATAGTTTTTGAGCGTGTGTAACCTAATTGTAATGTACGTTCTTTAAAACTGAAAGAAGAAAATATATCACTTCCGAACCGCTAATCAATAAATCAACACTCAAAATAAAAGTGATTAAATGTTAGGTCAGGGGCCTTTAAACTATTCACAAAACATAGGTGTCAAAGCCACATTGTAAGTTAGCGCAACGTATATATCCGACTATGCATTGTGGCTTCGAGACCGGAACGAAAATAAATGAAATATCAAGGGACCCACCGGTGTGTATGCGTTTATGAGTGCCAAGGCTGGACTTCTGAGTAAACCGCTTGTCACAGATGTCGCATTGATAGGGGCGCACTTTGTTGATCAGCGATTGGATGTGCTCCTCTAGAAATACCAATAAAATTGAGCTAAAACAAGGGTTCGGCTCGCGCACTGCTAATATGTTACTGCCTAGTAACGTGAGCTAACGAAATTAACAAATTCATTGTCTACATAAGGAGTTTAGGGGAAAATGCCTACCAGTGTGTATTTTCCCATGTCGTCCCAGGCTGGACTTCTGAGTGAAGCGCATAAAACAGATGTGGCACTGGTACGGCCGCACTTTCTCTAACAGGGCTCGTCTGTGCTCCTCTATAAGTTATACGAGTACGATATAGCATCTCAGCACCCTCTCAAACAATATGTATTTCATTATTACCTATGTTAAATTATGAAACCATTCACACACATTCAGGGGGAGGTAGGCTATCTCTATAACAAACACGTTAGTACCGTTCTGCCTCAAGGATAACGTCACGCACAAGTAGGCAGGAGGTAGATAGGGACCCACCGGTATGTATTTTTCCGTGCCGGCCCAAACTTGATTTCTGGGTGAATCTCACAAAGCAGATGCCGCATTGGTAGGGTCGTTCCTTAGCCAGCAGCGCACGTTTGTGTTCCTCTGAACGAAACCATCGTATGAATCAAAATACGGCTTACATTGAACTTTGAACGACTAAGAGTTAAGGGGCTTGAGGAGCCGAGAGAGAAAGAGGAGTAGAGTCGGCACGGGGCTATGCATAAGATGACGGTCATCAACCCACCCGTGTGAATTTTCTTGTGTCGGTTGAGGCTGGAGCTCTGCGTGAACCGCATCTGACAGAGTTCACACTTGTAGGGCCGGTCCTTCACCATCAACGCGCGCATGTGCTCATCTAAAACCCAGGCCACATTCCAACAACACACGCTCTGACAACTAGTCTGAACCACCATATTATACAAGAACACACAATCGATTTCTCCCGCACATTTAGCTGCCACGGTATAGATGTCACTATATGTCATGAGGTATCCATTGTGAGTTCTTTACCTCCCCCTGTTTACCTCACATCAACGAAGCCTTCCTCACGCCCTGATCTTTTGCGAAATGACTTTAGCTATTGGCACAACTCAAAAACTATTCACATGTCGATGTTAAGCATATGTATTGTCAACTATTACAGCTAATTGTGTGTCGCACCAGTGTCCTAATAGTCCATACGACCGAATACGATAGGAATAATGGATAGTATAAACAATATTGTATATAAGTATTTGAATAAAGTTGCGAAAAGCGCCGTCCAGAGGCCGCTTACTTATGAATAATTAAGCACTACGCAGATAAAAACAAAATATCATTATAGTAATATCAAGAAAAGATAATAAGAAACTATTATCATCTACTGGCAGGTGATTCTGTACGCTCAGGGTAATACTGAATGCGCTCTAATTAGCTAAGGTCTGTCTATTCTGTAACTGGTGGTGGCAGAAATGGCAGGTTACAGAACCTAGTTATTACAGGGAAAAATAGTGCTATATTCCAATCGGTAAAGACTGCAGCATGCAGTAAATTGTTTAGTCTGAACGTAACAGTGTGTCACTGCGTTAATTAAAATATTTACACGGCCATTACTTTCTCATAATCGCACACGCATTTGTCAAATTCAAAATAGGCAACAAAATTAAATGTTACAGACCTTAGCGAGTTTGAGGACTTTGCCAATAAAACATACAAAATCAAAAGCTTTCTACGGAGGGTTTTAGAAGATATAAATTGTAAAAGCTGTAAATTCAATCTAACTACAACATAATAATGTAAGAATTAAAATGTGCGAAATAATATACTACCCTCTCAAAATTCTAATAAATTATATGTATAGGTAGGTACATATATAACAATATAGGTAAACATCTAAAAAGACATCAAATTATAGATACATATGTATGTATGTAAATGAAAAGACAATACATTTAAAATAAGTAGCTGACTTATCAGGGCGTCAAAACAGGATATAAGCGATAATGAACAACAGGTAGCCAATCGATTTACTTAAATTGAAAACAAACAAGTAAAAAATACTTTTAAAGTATTTGGTTTCGCGGAAACAGGAGGAGGTCATTTGATTAAAATTATAAGAATCCAATTTCATAATATTAAAGAATCCCCTCATGGTACATTCTTAAAATATGGGATTTTGTTTACTAACATTTACCAGTCCCGTCTAGTTAAAATGTAACTTCCATATTGCCCTTTCCTAATGCCTCCGTCCTAATTTTAGTCCCTATACAATTGAGTTTCTTGGGCACTCAGGGGATTTGCATTATGCAATAACTAATATTAAAAGTAAAATTAGAAAGAATTACCTTTAATTTAAATAATATGGAAATTACATTAATTGCATTCAACATCAACGTTGTAATTATCTATCGGCTTAAAATAATCTCAACAGTTATCGAATAAATGAATATTTTTCAAGCGCACGATTGTAAACACTGCACAAATGCGAACAAATATATTTTAATACTAGCGAAAAGGCCTTTCACAAAAAACATATGTTTGAAAAATATTATTTATGTAGGCCGACGAAAAACAGACTAATTACTTATAATTACATAGTAGGGAAGTATCAGTCATTTGAATACTAAGTAAATCTGTTTTTTGAACGCCTCTGAACAACACCGAGATGCATTTGTAAGTGCAACAATTTGTGTTACGATAAGGACTCACCTGTGTGGACACGTTTGTGCGTGTTCAGACTGGACTTCTGGGTAAATCGTTTGAGGCAGAGATCACATTGAAAGGGGCGTTCTCCTGTATGAGTACGCATGTGGACTTCCAGGTAAGGTTTACGGCAAAAAGCTGCGTCGCAAACCTAGATAAACAAAATATGTTAAATTTAAATGTAAATTTTTTAGAACCTTACTAAAGACGTTTCTTCAAAGAGAGTGCATACCTAAAAATTAGGTGAGTAAGATTATCTATCTATAGATACAATCATCATCGTCATCATCAGCCTATCGCAGTCCACTGCTGGACATAGGCATCTCCCATATGTACATTGGAATTGTAAAATTTACATGTATTTTTACTTTTACACACACATACATTGTACACATTATCATTTTCAGAAATGTCTGTCTGTCTGATTGTTTGGACACGCATCACTAGTAATACTAAGACTATAGTCCATCAACGTCGTGCGCGACCGTCCTGCAGGGTGACAGACGGTGGCGGGGTAAAAACACTAGTTTTTATTTTATTTTACTCTAACAGAAATTTAAAGATGATAAATTTATGATAAAGTAATGTAAGAATGAAAAGCAGAATAGCTAATTTATTTTAGACTTGTCCCAAAATTGGTAACAACAGAATGGCAGAATTATGTTAGGCATAATATTTAATTTTGATATATGGAACAAAATTGTTCATAAATACTTTTTTTAACACAAGTGAAATACGAATAGAACTGAAAGTCATTATAGTCATAATAACTGGCACTCGTTAGGAACCACAGAGATATAAACATAGAGTGAACAAGATCCTCAATCTTGCAATATAAGGCAACGAGAGAGATGGATAATAGATAGTTCCCTCTATCTCTTTCTAGTCGAGCTCTGTGGTTGGCTGGGGAAATTTCTAGTCTCCCGTCTGTTGTAAGAAAGCCCGTAACAATTGACTTTGCTCACATTCTTTCAACTTTGTGAAAAACGTACAATCATTATTACACTCAATCTTATATATAAATTATTATAAATTATGTGTGTACATCGGGTAGGTCTGAGAATCGGCCAACATCTATTTTTCATACCAATAAATGACAATATTTTTTTTTTATATTTCCTGGAAATAATGTACGAGGGCGGGTCAATAAGTCCGTGACTTTTTGAATTTCTGACCTCTTTACTGAAAAAGCAACACTACTCCTGTCAACAGGCATCTGTCAGTTGACTCCTGTCAAAATTTGAACTTGCTGCGTCAGTTTGTGTTTGACAGCTATCTTTATCAGACTACCCAGTAATTTGAGGAAAAAATGGAAAAAAGTGAATTTCGTGTGCTTATTAAGCATTATTTTTTGCGAAAAAAAAACCATTACCGAGACCAAGGCTAAGCTTGATAAATACTATGGGGACTCTGCACCATCGATTTCAATGGTAAAAAAGTGGTTTACTGAATTTCGTTGTGGCCGTACAAGCACTGAAGATGCCGAACGTCCTGGACGCCCAGTTGAGGTCTCTTCACCCGCAACAATCGAAAAAATTCACGATATGGTGTTGGCCGACCGAAGATTGAAAGTGCAAGAGATTGTGGAAGCCATAGGGATCTCGCATGGCTCAGTGGTTTCAATTTTGAATGATGACTTGGGCATGAGGAAGCTTTCCGCAAGATGGGTGCCGCGATTGCTCACAGTCGACCACAAACGCAATCGTGTAACAACTTCACAGAAAGGTTTGGCGTTGTTTAATCGCAATATGGAGGAGTTTTTGCGCCGTTTTGTAACCGTGGACGAAACATGGATCCATCACAACACACCAGAGACCAAACAACAGTCAAAACAGTGGGTTTCTAAGGGTGAATCGGCGCCAAAGAAGGCCAAGGTGGGTTTGTCAGCCAATAAAGTTATGGCGACTGTCTTTTGGGATGGGAAGAACAATCGATGGGGAATATTATGCCAACTTATTGGACCGATTCAATGACGATTTGAAAAAAAACCGACCTTATTTGGCCAAGAAAAAAGTTCTTTTCCACCAAGACAATGCAAGGGTGCACACATGTGCAGTTGCCATGGCAAAAATTAATGAATTGGGCTATGAATTGCTCCCTGATGCGCCGTATTCTCCAGATTTGGCTCCGAGTGACTACTTCTTGTTCCCAAACCTGAAGAAATGGCTTGGTGGAAAAAGATTTGACTCCAATGATGAAGTCATCTCGCAAACCAAGGCCTATTTTGAGGACCTCGACAAATCATATTTTTTGGAAGGGATAAAAAAATTGGAGAAGCGTTGGACAAAGTGTATAGAGCTCAAGGGAGACTACGTTGAAAAAAGAATGATTTATTTATCAAAAAAACTGTGTTTTATTCCAAAAGTCACGGACTTATTGACCCGCCCTCGTATATGGCAAAACAACGTTTGCGGGGTCAGCTAGTAACTGTATAAAATGATTAGACCCCAATATACTAACCATTAAAAAAACTCTCCTACAAAAATTGTAGCCAGTATCATTCAGAATGGTGAATGGATTCTAATAAAAATGTATGTATCCGAATCCGCTGAGGCAATTAGAAATTAGTCGTGTGGTTACCGATCAAGGAGTATCATCACCCCTATTCATCCCGTGGCATGGGTGTCATAATAGACAACTAAGGGAGCAAACTACGCGGTACTTACAATAGCACTGCAAGGAGAAGGGAAACTTGACAGAAATTCTATACCAACCCGTCTGGCCAGCGTGAACTTTTATAGGCTGTTGATGATGTTATGTCAACCCTTACATAATGCATAATTTATTGTCACTTATTTTATATACTTACAGTACACTGAAAAGGTTTGTTTCCTGAGTGTAGCTTCATATGAACGTAGTATGAAGACGCCGACGATAACACTTTTCCACATACCTGAACAAGAAATTAGTATACAATTATTTAATTTTTTACAACAAATCTTTGTATCCAAACGCGATGTTGTACTACCAAGTGCTGTACAGCACGGTCATGCAAATAAGACCTATAATTAGCTGTTATGCCGCTCACCTTACAAGCTTGAGGTTTAGAACGAGGTGCCGATTGCTGTCCATTCGATACTTCCATCTTGGTTTGAATAGATCCCATGTCTACTCCCATACCCTGTTAAAATATTTGTTTTATAAAAGAACGAAAAACTTCTCGTTTTGCATTTAATAATAGTTCTTCGCAGATTTATTAATGGGGTATGATAATCTCATGGAGGTTGTACACGGTTTTTTTTTTTTTTAAGACAACTCCTAAGTCGTGACTTCGTCGTAAATCCTAAGTCGTGGGGGACTTGCAAACACACATGAAACGGACACAAAGAACACCCAGAGTCAGAACAACAATTTGTGGATCACACAAAGTGTCGTCCGATGTGGGGATCGGACCTACAACACTCAGCGTAGTAGTAAGCGGCGTGGCGACCGCTTTAAACCATTACGCTATGCTAAATACTAAAAAAGGGTGCTGCTTTATTAAAAAAATCTATTTGAAACGGATGACATTTATTTTGATTTTGTCACTTAAGGTTTTTGCTAAGTAAAGCAGATTATTGTATGATTTGAAAGATATTTTTATATGTGAGTGTACTTAAAAAAAAATTAGCAATACGCCGGTGGAAAATATCATTATGATGCCGGTTGAAGAAAAAGAAACTTTATACTTTAAATCACTATTATAAATTAATGATATCTATTTTATGAAGAACATTAAATATCGCGTACTTCTGCAGAGATTATTAAAATTTTCTTGCTGCTGGTGTTTCAGTTATTGTAGTCTTTCTAATAACTGTTGCATAATTTTATTGACTGATTCCATATAACATTTGTATTTAACACCGCAAAAAACATTTGTATTTAAGATTCCCATTGGCCCTATGTCCAGCAGTGGACTGCGATAGGCTGATGATGATTTAAGATTCAATACAAGTATTAAAATACCAATACGATAAATATTTGAATAAAAAAAATTAAGTCTTCATAAAAACGACACTCTATTCTAATTACCTGAGAACATTGTCGACCATCCATATCCATTTCAACCCCTTCATCTTCCATTCCCTTGAAGCTTAACTGCAAAAAAACTCACCGCTTTAGAACAGGCTAAAAAAAATTATATCATTAAATGAATAAATGAATTAAATGTTAAATGAATTAAAGACAAAAAAGGGATTTTTTCATTATATTGTATGGATGTTTATTACGTTATCCGTGTAATTAAATTTATATCGATTTCTGTCTAACTGTAATGTTATCGTATTTTATATTTACCGTGTCTTCGAAATTGTTACATTTCTGAAGACACAGCTAGAAAGTAAGCAATGATTCCATTATTATTTTTTAGAATTTATATGCGAATGTCATTGTATTGTTATGCTGTCTTTGTATCGTCTTCCTATTGTTGAATACCTACTTTATGGGGTATTTGTACTGTGACCTACCGTAATTAATGAATATGTTATTTATTTTCTTAGGACTTTAGTTAAAGGCTTTGTGTTGGATTGCTTCTTGATTCTTCTAAATAATGAAGTATGCGTAGATAAACTTTGAAAGCTTTTTTTCATACCGTCGTTTCATTTTTCATTTTACTTATAGTAGTAGTCAAGTTATAGATCTTTTTCTTTGAATCCTTTTTAAGATTTTTTTTAAAGACATCTCCCGCTCTAGGAATATATCCTGTGTCGTGTCGTCTTTACATTAGACTTGCAACGAATATTCGGTTACTATTCGGTATTCGGCCTATTCGGCTGCTCTTATTATATTCGGCCGAATACCGAATATCTACATATTATTCGGCCGAATACCGAATACTTAAATAATATACACTGGTTAGCAAATAAACCGAGCCACCCGCTACCTAGGAACTTCGATTTTCTCAAAAAGTATAAAACTTACAACTATCAAAGTTATACCTACAAAAAGTGCGTTTCATGGTGATTAAAATGACTAAAAATTAATTCGAAAGTACCGTCAACTCACATTGTAATCAAGCAACAAAATGCTAACGATTTGCTCTGTTTTCACCCGAGTTTGAAATTAGCGTTCTTATTCTCTACAATGAGGGTAGTCGGATATTTCTTATCATTTCTTTAGTTTTTGTCCATCGTTTGCTCAGACGCGTGTGTTTTTGCTACTTTTTTCGATTAATAATGGATACAACACCTCAGAAAGCAGCTCAAGCTGTAGCATTACTTCAAGCAGGCATTGCGCAACGTGAAGTCGCTCGAAGGCTTCGAATCAGCAGATCTTCGGTGCAACGAGTTTACAGACGATACCTAGAGACTGGAGCATTCGATCGCCGTCCAGGTACGGGCAGACCTAGGGCTACATCAGCAGCAGATGATCGTTATATCCACCTTACTGTTCTGCGAAATCGCCACCTCAACGCAGTTCAAGTCCAACAAAGTCTGCGTGACGAACGCCAAGTGGTCATAAGTTCAGATACCGTCAGAAGGAGACTTGCTGAACGGAACCTGACCCCAAAAAGAGCTGCAACAGGCCCAGCATTAACGGTAGCACACCGTCGAGCACGACTTGAATTTGCTCGAGAGCATAGGGATTGGACATTAGAGCAGTGGAGTAATGTACTCTTCACTGATGAGACCAGGGTGAGTCTACATGGAAGTGATCGACGTCAGAGAGTATATCGTCGCCCTGGAGAACGTTATTCTCAGTGTTGCATCGAGGAAACTGTTGCTTATGGAGGAGGATCTGTAATGGTCTGGGGCGGCATCTCGTTAACAGCACATACAGCGTTAGTTTTCATCGAACCGACGGGCCGTACACGTGGACTGACTTCTCATCGCTACATTACTGAAATCCTCGCAGACCATGTGGTACCTTACGCAGGATATATCGGACAGGATATGCAATTGATGCATGATAATGCACGGCCTCATGTTGCTCATGTGGTGAACCAGTATCTACGCGACGTCAGCATTCGTACGATGGACTGGCCTTATGGGCCTTATGGGACTTATGGGATGAGCTGAAACGTCGGGTTCGAGCCCGGGTACCTGCTCCAACAAGGCTTCCAGAGCTGCGAATCGCAATTGAAGAGGAGTGAAATACAATTCCTCAAGATTTTATCGTCAGGCTCGTAAGGTCGATGAATACAAGGATGCTGGCAGTTATCCGAGCAAGGAGAGGGAATACGGAATATTGATCAAAAACTTTTTTTTGATTTTATCTTTGTTTTTGGCTTTAATTTTTTTTTTCACTTTATCATTACTAACGATTGTCACGACTGGAAAACGACTCTTCTTTGTAAAATCCTTAATAAACACTGAAATATTGATTAAACCCAATGAGTTTCCTTTCATTTTAATCACCATGAAACGCACTTTCTGTAGGTACAACTTTGTTAATTGTAGGTTTTTTAGTTTTTGAGAAAATCGAATTAGAGTGCCTAGGTAGCTGGTGGCTCGGTTTATTTGCTGTCCAGTGTATTTTGTCATTGAGAAATAATTGGTAAAATGAAAAATTAAAATCGATTGATTACGTATATATTCATATTTTCATTTCTGTTATAATCATTTAAGTAGTCATTGGTGCATAACACAGGTACATAATCATCTTATGAATTGGAAAAATTTAGGATTCTATGTATTTGAATTATTGTGGTAATCAAAATTTAGAAGGGTAAGGTTCTCATTTCTTTTATAATCATTTATTAAGTAGTCATTGGTACATAAAACAGGTACATAATTTAATTCAGGTCTGTACAAGTTTTTGGCTCTAAAATCCAGCCGAATACTTTTGCCTAATATTCGGCTATTCGGTCAGGGGCCTCGCCGAATATTCGGTATTCGGTATACTGCCGAATATACTATTCGTTGCAAGTCTACTTTACATACATTTCTGTAACGGTCACCTAGACTTAACAATTTGTGGATTACGCAAAGTGTTGACCTATGTGGAGATAAAACCCACAACACTCATCGCAGTAGGAAGCGTCGAGGTGGCCGCTTAAATCACTATATACGTCATTAGTGCAGTCATTGTAAAATTTGGAATGGTTAGAGTTTAAATGTATAAGCATAGAACGTACTAAAAGTTAATAACTGTTCAGCCGGATTAATCTATTTTAAGTCAATTTGCAAGTATGCGGAAAGATTCAGTTTAAGTCATCTTTAGATTAGTTTAAGTAGGTTCTATTACCATGAATAAATATTTAATTCTTAATGGAGAATTGTATATATTAATTCTTCATCACGAGTAAGATCGTTATTTAGCACTGAATTATTTTATGTTGTGATTTATCATCGTAAGTTACAGTCATTCAGGCAACGCTAATGTTCTCTGTATAAGGTATCATAAACTTAGGGGTTACAAATATGGTGGATATACTTTTTTAATTAGTTATAATATTTAATTAGTTATAATATATTTCAGGTTTAAAAAGTACAAGTTTTATAGGTACCTACATATTGACATACCTCGTCATCTTGTTGCATTTCTTGTTGCTGTTGATGTTGTTCCATGAGATCTTGTTGATGTTGTACTTGCTGTTGTACTATGAGGCTGTCTTTAGAATCCTCTTGATGTGACTGATGATGTTGATTCATGTTGATGATGCTTGCATGATTTGAATCTGTTCGGATTATCGTGGGGGGGCCAGTGTGTACATGGGGATGAGTGTAAAAACTGCAAAGTAAACATAATGGTATCAATTATTTCTCGTATTAAGAATTTATGCTAATATCAATTATTAACTAAGGCTATGACAGTAACATTGATATACATTTTTTTAAAGGAGGATATAAAAATGCCAAAACTTTTCTTAAAATGTTCCATACGTAATCATAGCGCATCTGGAATAATGTGTTCTTTCTAAATCTAGGACCGAGAGATCAAGCTCACTTTCCTTTTTAAATACTTATAAGAAATCAACCTCCCAAGATTTTTGTGAGTTACCTCCCACTTTTTAATTTGTACTTACTCGGTGTTGCGGGAAAGCAGTGGATGAGGACTGCATTGGCCAGGAAAGTGGCTTGAAAAAGAAGATGCGCAAAGTCAGCATAAATTTTTTTTTACACGTTTTTTGTATTAAGTACATTAACACATATTTGAGATTTAATAATTTGAAAAGACACGGATCTTTTCGCAAATGTAGAAAACCTAGTTTTTTTAATTTTAAGGGATTCTTTAGAATTTAACGATATTTGCTTGTAATTGCTTTGCAAGTAGCAAAATATATAAAAATGAAGCACATTGTATTTCATTCCATTTAGTTTTTAATATTTGCAAAGTTAACTGATAGACTACACAGCTAGTGTCATTTCTTCGTGTCCTTCTTAAAGAACTTCCACTAGTCATGTGTGAAATTACGACAATAGCTAAGAGTGAGCCCGATTTGTTTAAATATTTCTTGTGCCTCATTGTTTCAATTTGCATAACTTAAATGATTCCACTCACATAAGTTCAAAATTTGATGTCGATTGAGCAGTGATTTGTTAGTTGTAGGTTCGCTAGCCAAGTTTCAGCTTACCTCATGGGTTCAGCCTTGATCTGCTGTTCAAACATGGATATAGTGGCGAGTAGGTCGCCAGGGGGTGGCACGGGGACCCCCACGCCCCGTGCCACACCCCCGACGCCTACACCCCAGTGTGCTGGGAAACTAATGGCGACTTCTTTGCTCCCCCATTTTCAACTTCTGCCACCTGAAAAGATCTTCATGTGAATACAGTATACATTCTGCATAAGCACTTGTCAATTTGTCTGGATAAGGGGGGTCCTTTAATTTTGCTACAAAAAAACTTTAAAAAAAATCTTGAGCATGTTATTGTTAAGCTTTATTCTCTATTTTTCTGTTTTAATTTTGATAGTTCTACTTGACTAAATATTAGTTTGTATATTACCTAGTTTAATAAAACCACAATAATTAGAAATTCTTATTAATTATATGGCACTTATTAATACTGGTACATTTTACTTATGGTAAAAGACATACATATTTGGAATGATATTGTAGTCGTGGACTGTGTAAGTTAAGTATTTACTCAATAAATATTCTTATTTCTGTAAAGCGTGTAATCGCTATTTATACTTAAAACACAGTATTTAAACTATATTTCAAAGCTTCCGTAATTTATATAGTAAGTTTCCTGTGTATTTTTTGTTGATTCCACACTATTGTACTATACTTGCGTATTTACCTATTTAAAGATCGTTAAATAATTAATTTAATTAAACTTATATGTAAAGTTACCAGCATCATGGTGTAAGTGCAAGCAAGTGGATAATAAACAGCGACAAGAGTTTGGCACTTTAAATTTATTTACGTTATAAGCGCATTTATTAACATAACATGGACGAAAATTTTATTAAATAAAAAGCTTAATTATGCGTAGAATATATGTAATTTAAAAATAATTACAAAACCAGGTGATTACATGCATAAGTAACACAAATAAAAGAAAATATTAACAATAATAGAAAACAATTATTGGAAGAGTACTAGACGCACTACAACGAAAAGAACATAAGTAAACAAATTATAAATTCTTTACCAAACATAAAATCAAAGAGTGCAATAATTATGTTAACAAAATATATTATTAGCTGTTACAGATGTGTACACAATATTCATAACAAACAAAATACCCACATTATCTATACCTAAATAACATTTTCAACACATATAGGTATGTACTTAGCTGATTTATTTATATTGTCAGGCCGTTGACTGACCACTGTTGGAAATTTGTTTATTATGTTTATGTGCACAAAAAGACGAAGTTATTGATTTATATGTAAAACGGTATAGATAATTATACAAAGTAACTATAGAAATAAATTGTAACAGCCAACACTCACACAAGTGCGCTTATCATTAGCATATATTTGTATAGCGCTTGTAGATTAATTTTGTTATTTATCTTTGTTAAGTAATCTGTAGATATATGAAAGTGTAAACAAAATCTTAACACATACTAATTAAAATAATTAATATCTTTGACAAAATATAAATGGCGGAAGCTCACCGACCGACTGTCTCCACCCAGCCTCCCCCCCGGCCATCAATAAAATGGCCAATTCGTTATTGAATTTTGTCCCCAACTTTCAAGCCGAGGCTGCGCGACGCCGGTTGTCACTCGACAAGTAATTTAGTAACCAATACAGGTCTAATGTAAACAAAACGGGTTTATATCACTTTATTCAACGTTTTTGTGAAAGTTATGTCATATTATCCTGAGCTAAATCTACGGTCGGAAAGTACTTTTGTGTTAAAAGTCTACAAGCTTATTATCTTCTGTAAACATAAACTTCGTTTTAAGACGGAAGCCTTGTAGCTATTGAAAATACGATGACCTTTTATATTATATGGATAGAATGAGATATAAATTTATTATTATATCTTTTATATGCAAAATGTTAGGTTTCATCGCGCTTATGTTATTATATCGTTGTGTATGTATATCAAAAGTTATATTCTACTCACATAAGTAAAGAAACACCTAAATATAGTAGTGTATAGAGAATCACATAAATTATATCACTAATTACACAATTTCGTTAAGATTGGCCATTCGAATTATGTTTTTCTTAGACACCGACATAAAATGGCTGCTACCTCATTGTTCTGCGCGTTCGTTCGTGCGCATAGAAGCCGTGAACGCTTGGGGACGACTTCTCCGCCAATTAAAATTATGGCGCGAAATTTAAGGCGTCGTTAACTACAATTTAATGTTTTATTTATGATAATTAATAGCTTTAGATGTCAATTACTGTACGCAACTACTAAATACCAAAAAATAAACGTTGTTATGGATACAACGGTGAAAGCAGGAACGTATACAAAAATATTGTAGTCCCATTCATCAAAATTAGCATTGTCGTTGCATGGGTTAAAAAATAATCTTCTATGTTTATGACGATAGCCATCTAGATGCTGATTGAATTGATTATCGGAGTTAGTGAATATGTGACATGTGGAGCAATAATACTTTTTAAGTTTTTGCTTGGGTAAAGTCTTCGTTTTACGCGGTTCTGCCATTTGTGTTGTTGTAGGCATGTTGTGGATTTAATGAAATACGTTATACAGGTACATGAATGGTAGTTACCGTAGACTCTACTTAAGTATGTTTGGTACGACTGATCTGAAAACGCCAAACAGGTTATGTTGTTTTGCAAGTTATACATAAAATATGCGAGGTGGGTAATACATAGAAATTGAATTTTATACCGTACCCACATTTTCACTACTTATTTCATACATAAGTACATAAATTTAAGTAGATATTATAGGTTCTTAGATTATATTATCTAAGATACAATATTCTTTTTCCCTCTGTGATCTTTTTAGTATTGCGTAAAAAACAAAATACTGGGTAAAAGTGTAGGTAGGTTTTTAAAAACTAATGATCATGATGAGAAGAGTTACCTATGAATTTTTAACACGAGCGTCTAATGTTTTAGCCTTATTTGTTGTTAGATATTAGCTACATAATCTGTCAATTAAAATTTGATTGCACGTGTGGTTTACAATAGTATTCGCACAGACTATTGTTGTGATGACTGTCAATAACGAATAGTTAAAAAAAAACGAACGAACGAATTATTTTAGTACTACTTAATCTTAAGAGCCACTTGCAGTCATCAAGGCTAACGGCCCGTTTACACTTTCATTAATGTAAGTGTTAGGACGCATGTCCTGTAAAATCTGTACTGACCACTCACCGTATAGTTTACCCATGAATGCAGAACAATACCTACCTAGGATTATGTAAACGGGGTATTTAATATCCTTTAAACTTTACAATACAGGTGTTTGGCAGAGATACGTTATTATTCTTCTGCGGGTATTGATTTAATATTTGTAAAATAATATTTATTTGTTTTTAATAAATAAATAAAATAAATAAATAATAAATATTGTCAGTATAGTTATAATATAACTCTGAAGCAAGTGTAAACCGGCCACTAATTTTACTTTGTTAAGTGGCACGTGCAAGTAACCATGGGATTTATGAATTGCTTACTCTGAGTACTATAAAATGGTTGTTTTGTTCAGTGGTAAGTGGGAGTTTAAAATGTTCTTTACACTTGGATTCCTTGAAATATTATGTAGCATCCATTGCTAGTCAAGCAGTATTGAATAAGAAATGAGCAATGTAAATGCTACTTAACACTAGTATTCCCTCCCCCCCCTAACATGCATGCACCCCGCGGCGGCGTTGGGCAAATTTAGTGTTACCAGCCTTAGGATTTAGACAAGAGATGTTGTTCTTAACTTTATTTACTTACCTACTATGCAAATGTTATGCGCTGTCTGTACAATGCTCTTGAAGAAAAGAAACTTTTCCAATGTCGGAACTACGTGAAACATTCATATTTTCAATAATCTTAATTTATCTACCGTCCGACTGTCAGTAACTCAATTTAGACGTTTACTAAATGAAACTAGACATACCACAACTCCTTAGCTACGACTTGAAACAGGTAATTTAGTAGCCGTACTCTAAAGCGCATGAAAAATACTCAATCTCGTAATTAAGACGTAAGTAAGACTAAATCTGTCTACCACCCGACTAAAGTTACACTCGTATAAAATAAACAATAAATTACCAAAACACATAAAATAATACAAATACATGTTTATATAATCAAAAATTATTTTTTTCAAAAAATAAGATTTTTTTCGGTGATAAACTAACCTAACACTAAATAAATCAATCATATTGCAAACAAAAATACTACACGCCCATAAAAGTAAAAACAAACACACCCATGTAAAATCAATAAATAAGTATAACACCTACACAAATATCTGTAAAATCAAGTATATTTCTTATATAAATTTAAAATATATGTTACATATCATATATAACAGTATCATATACCTTTTTACTCATTATATTAAAATTAGTTTTTAGTTGTGTGCACTGATAGATATAAAGTTGCTGCTAGGCCCTCTTCCTCGCTCCTACCTAATCTTATGATGTGCTCGACAGGGTCCATAATGTTGCTGTATTTTTTATATTTTTAAAACCATTTGTACATTATGGATTGCAATTAATGAGTATTGAGGAGCTAAGTTTTTCGTGTAACTATATATGTCTCGTGAAATAGACTCATCCATATTTCCCTTAATATCTAGTTTAGTCGATTTTTTATGTGAAACATCTATTACAGCGGGTCAAAGCGGCCGTTGGTGTGGCGACATGTAGCCACGGCCTGCGTCGCCGCGCTATGTTTATTTAAAAAAATCTAATTTGTATATTTAAAATAAATTGTACTTATGTATTCTTTCCGTTCCTTAGCTATCTTTTTATGTTCATTATTTCTACAGATTTATTTTGATGACACGTGACGGCTTAAGTTTTTAAATAAAATAAAGGCGTTTATCCTAAGGATTATTTTTAAACTATCGCAATATATTTTTTATTGACTATTTGATTTATGAAAGGTAACGACGGTAACTATAACGGAGGAAAACAACGACGGAATAAAACTATTAACGATTTCGGACTTATTTTCTTAAGTACCTTTCTTCATCTTGTTATCAATGAATCCAGTATCGTAAAAATAAAATATTTTTGGTCAAATCACTTTCATCAATCTATAACTTCTAAGTTCATGTTATAATTTTAGTTAGATCCAATTAGTGATTTTTAGGCCGCTTCCGCTTACTTACCGAATGAGTGCACCAATCGCAACTTTCCATCACAGAACGTAGCTTATGTTTCAAGATTGTAGAGCACACTAAAGCCATAGATAATTTGTTTACATTATCTATGGTTTTCATTTGATATTGACGTTTCCAGCAGTCTTGTTTATGGTTCTTTTGAGAAGTTGTAACTATGGCGGTGGGTGTTTTTGATTTCTTGTTAAAATATATCTATGTGAATCAATGAATTTTTCATATTATTAGAGTCGTTTAATATCCTTGAATGACTGTTACTGTGTTTTATTTATTGCTTATAAAATATTTTTGTTTTTACGTCCAAATCCTTGTCTGCAATCGGCATAACCTATACTAGTGTTTAATCACAAGGATTATTATTCTAAATTATAGTGTTCCTTAAGTGCACATCGTAAATTTAGATATGTATTTCAGCGAGTACCACCGCCCGCGTTGAAGAAAGACAAGAAGGAGAAGAAGCCTCCTAAAGATAATTCCAAAAATGTTATGCGGAATTTGCACATCAGGAAACTCTGCCTGAACATCTGTGTCGGAGAGTCTGGTGACAGGCTTACTCGTGCTGCTAAGGTTAGTTGAAATTCATTCATCATCAGTACTATATTGAAATTTTTATCATAATGTTGTCTACTTGAGAGTACGAGTAAAAGTGAGCACACCGTGTAATGTAGCAAGTTCAGTTTACCTTACTTACTTTAAAATTATTCCTTTATGAATGAGTTCAGAAATTATGCTTAACATAGTCGCAAGTAAATATTTAGATGAGACACTAGCAAAACGCTTATTTGGAGTAGAACCTCTTTATAAAGTTTAGTTAAGTAAAGAGCACGATATTGTTTTGGACCCAAACATGCAACAACTTATTCTAATATGCTTTAAATACTTGCCCTATATCGTATATCTATATTTTGGTGAGTTAGGTAACCTATCAAGGAAATGGTGCCATTACAAAACAGTTCGTACAATCAGATTTTTTACCGATTACCATGGTTCCACGTAATTTTTGTTAGATTTTTTGTTTAAACATGTTATTCTCACAAGAAACATGAAGTTATTAGTCTAAATAACATGTGGCTACAACCCTTCCCTCGTGAATCTGTAAGTATTAATACAGGTGAAACAACTAGGATGTAGATTTGACATTCTTACTTGAATGTTAATAAGTTTTAATACAAAATTATTTTACATTTGTAAGAGAGTAAGTACTAAATAGTGCAGTAAAGTTATTTTTGTAAGTGTATATATATATATATATATCTGTTCCTTGTGTTTTAAATTTACAATTTATAGGCATTGAATGTTTCTTTCTGTAAGTTGTTTAGAAGTCATCATAGTTTGGAATCTCTCATTTTCACTTAACTTAAAATGATATTCAATTAAACAATAAACGGCATGAACTTGTTCAAGATTAACATAACTTGTGTTACTCTTTGTAAATTCATGCAAGAGAAAAATTTCCAATTTGCAACTTCTGAGCACTAACTTTATACTGTTCAGAATACTTACGGAAATGACAATTTCTTTATTTTTAAGTCATTATTTCAGTTGTGTGTGATAAATATACACTAATATTTGTATTTTTCTTATTCTAGGTGTTGGAACAGCTTACTGGACAACAGCCAGTGTTCTCGAAGGCTAGGTACACTGTCCGTTCTTTTGGAATCCGTCGTAATGAAAAAATTGCTGTTCATTGCACAGTACGAGGAGCCAAAGCTGAAGAGATCCTTGAAAGGGGATTGAAGGTATGTTAGTTAATAATCACTAATCTTTCCTAGATATAAAAATAAATTTATGCAAATAACTATAAAAGAGGTGACATGGTTTTGTTGTTTCTTCTTGATTCTCTTCTGTTGTTTTCAAAAGACAAAGAAACAATGTGATTCTATTGACTACTTCTTAGTTAATATGTATAAATATTAATACTTCTAATCTGCTTCTTATCTTCTAATTTAAATATTAAGAGTGAAGCTACCAAAGTTTAGTTGTGCTTGCAAGATTCTAAATGACAAATAAGACTAGGGTCAGTGTATTACAGAAAATGTTATGTCAGCATCAGCATTTGCATTTCTACATTTATGGGTAGGATAGCTAGTTTTTTCATTGGAGTGCTGTGTTATATGTAATATTGATCATAATCATCGGCAAAGCATATGCCAGTTTTTCAAATGAAAAATACTATGATCTTCATGTTTGTGATTCTGATAAGCTGAAATGTAAAAATGGTTCTTGGTTTCAGGTCAGAGAATATGAGTTGAGGCGAGACAACTTCTCAGCCACAGGAAACTTTGGCTTTGGTATTCAAGAACACATTGACTTGGGTATCAAATATGATCCCTCCATCGGTATCTATGGTCTTGACTTCTATGTTGTACTTGGTCGTCCAGGTAAGATATTATGGTAACTTTGATATGTTATTCACCCAAAGTTAAAGTACATAGATATATTTATAGTCTTTAAGTAAACCATAGATTATCATTTACCACAGAGAATAGTCTTACTACAAGGGGTGTACCTGCTGTAGAGTTTACTAACATTTTGATAAATTAAAATTGCCTATTTAAATCTTAATTATATATTGTTATTCTCTTATCTGTGTGGTGACAGATTAAGAATATGGAGTGTCAAAACCCCTATTTATCCCATAGGTGTCGTAAGATGCGACTAAGGGAGCAAATTATGCAGGACAACAGCACTGCGAAGAGAAGGAAAACTTGAAACAAACCCTATACCATCCTGTCTGGCCAGTGTGGTATAGTAGGCGAAAACCTCCTTTCTAAGGAGAGGCCTATGTCCAACAGTGGATTATTAAAGGCTGTTGATGATGATGATGGAATCTCTACTTCTTTTACCAGTTTAACAATGCACTCATAATGTTTGAAGCAATATTATGTGATCAAACTATGTTTTGTTTCATGTTGAATTCAATTTTAGTAGATTAGTAGTGTGATTTGCAATGCACATTTGTTCAAGGGTGAGGACCAAAATATAACTTCACTTTGTAAAATATGTGCCATACTAAAATCTCAGTTTCAGAGTATAATAAGACATTATTCTTATTTTTCTATGAAATTGCTGTACATTGTTATGAAATCCATTACTTGGAAGTGTTAAACCATATTTGAGATTTTTTTATTACAAGTATAGTTACATTTTTGCACAAAAACAAGTTGGTTAAAATACAGTTGTACTAAACAATCAGAAAGCCTAATTATAATTTCTGAAAGTTGAAATAACAATACTGGGTATCCTACGATTTTAATGTAGCATTAAATATTGTGTATGATGTATTGAAATGTAAATTCTGAAACATTGAACTGGGTAAATCTGTGAACCTTTTTTGGATGCGTTATGAGACTTTATTAAGACTTGCAGAATTATTAATTGCCTTTCATGTCGGCATTATTTTTATTAATTATGTAATAGATTTGTAGACTTAACAAATCAATGTATTGTTCCAGGTTTCAATGTAGCTCACAGAAGACGTAAGACTGGCAAAGTTGGGTTCCCTCATCGTTTGACAAAGGAGGATGCCATGAAGTGGTTCCAACAGAAATACGATGGTATCATCCTTAACAGCAAAAAGTAAATTTAAGTAAACAATTTGTAAAGTTCAGATTGTTTTATTATTGTTTTGATAGCAATTACTCCTTATCTTCTTTCGACCAACTTTAGCACCTGGAAATACTTTATTTTAGAATTTTAGGGCACTTAAAGCTAAAAATAAAACTATATAAAAAATAACATAGTGAGTGCCAATTAAGTTTCCACACCCAAATGATCCAAATTTGAAAAGCAAAAGTAATAAAAAAAAGATGAGAAATAGAGTTACTCGCAAGTCTGTGCGTATGCTATTCACGGACGTAGTAATCACATAAGTAGCAATTGTTTAGTTTTAAACTACTACTATGAAAAACAGATCCAGATCAACTTCCTGACATACGACATTGTAAGACAAGCCTGCCTATAACGTAGTTCGACTAGAAATGCGCAGTTGCTGACTTACGGGTGGTGTGCGTTGCCCCAGCGGAAAAAGTCGTATTTTATTGTTTGAGATTAACAGATATTTAGTGTATGACCAATCAGATCAACAATTGCGGAACTATTGACGAAAAACTGTTTGGCCATTTGCTAGATTTCATATAAAACGCTTTTCTAGAGAGCTGTAGATTTTTTCGTGTGCGTTACCCCAGCAAAATAATGTCGAAAATGGTCATTTAAACGTTATAGATAATTAGTTGCTCCCTTTCTGTAATTGTTAGGCACATTTTTAAATTTGTTTCACTAAACTTTTTTAGTTATTTCAAAAAAACATTTCCTGCTGGGGTAACGTTTGAAACGTTACCGCAGCCAGACATTTTCTTTTTTAATTGTAATATTGAAATAAATTTTAGCTAAATAATTAGTTATCTGGACTAGGTAAATGTTACAACTTATTTGGTATTTGTATTTTATTCGGCTGCGAAGTTATTCGAAATCCTGCTGGAGTAACGTTTGTGGGTTTACTGGATCTCTGAAACGGGTAAGCGGATTGTAACCATCTTTTGTACATAACTTCTTAAGGATTAGTTTTAATTTGTTCGACAATAAAATAACAAAAATAATGGACCGTTTAAAAATTATTTAGGTAAGTATGAAAACACTTCAATACGTCCTAACACTTTAAATAAGACCTCTAACTTCGATCAATAATAGTACTAGATTTCCGATAAGCGCTTCAAAAACGGCCCGAAAAATAAGAGCACAAAACTGTTTGTGCTCTTATTTCAAATTAGTACGGTCCAATCATAGCCAACAATAGGACGTCAAAATGCCGCAGTGCGCGATCAAAAACTGTGTTAATAACCACCGTAACACCAAGTTTTTGCAAGGAATATCTTTTTTTCGGTAAGTTAATATCAATAAGTGTTTTTTCATAATATAATAAGTATAAACAGAATTAAACTGTAAATAAAATTCAATTAGCGAATGTTATAATTGTTTGGCCAATGTTTGCTACAACGCACCAATTATTGTATCAAACATCGACTGTTCTTGAACAGGGAATGCATGGAGTAGTGTTGTTATTTTGTAATGTTATTTTTGTTTGTAGATTTGCTAGTGACTTATAGACTTTTAAGCTATAGACTTTTGTAATAAAACCTTAAATATTCCCGCATTTAGAGAATCAGAATGCACAGTAGAATTTATTAAGATACTAAATGATCTTTTTGATATCCTAAATACTAGGAATCTTAAGGACTTTGGATTCAAACACCCTTTGAATAAGGGTAGTTCACAAAAAATATTGTCGTTTTTGTCCTAAATTAAAGACTGCTTATTGTCATTATCAATTAATGTTACAAATAAAAATTCTTAAGAGAACTTCAAATTTGGTTGGTTAATTTTATGTGGAATTTAGAGATATTTTATTTAGTATATCTGTCCTGCTTTTGGTGTCAGGGCGGGTCGCTTAAAGCATTAAATGTCTACATTTTTTTGCATTAGCTTGTTGGTTTGGATGAGTTTTATTCGCGAATTTATTCACTTGCTCGTAGTTTTTAATTTAAGATATCTCCTAACATATTCATTTAAATTGTATGGGTAAGGGGCTATTATAATGTGTATGAATTGCTTAAGATAACTATATTATTATTATTTATTTTGATAACGATTAATACTGTATCCGTCTAAATAGCTTTTGCAAATACCACATTATATGTGATAAAGTAAATACACATACATATTACACAAAAACGTAACGTTAATAAAATAATAAGTAATGTAAAGATACTAACAAACATACATAGATGTCCGAAACATAAAAAGTAAGCAACTAATATTTTACGTACATATTATAAATTATTTTAGTGTTCAACGCGACTCGATACCTCCTGTAGTAAAACTAGAAGAAGCAAAAATAAAACAAAACAAAGCGATGTAGCTCTCAAGGCAATAACGAGAAAAAGTTCTTTATTTGTTGCACCATAAGGTTGATTTTACACTCAATGTTATTTATGTCTTTTCATTTGAAAGTGATATGAGTAATTTATTGCTTTGCTCGTTTTTTGCAAGGAGTGATCGTAAGTATTAGATAATATTTTTAAGATTTGTGACTTTATTACTGTGTACCATAGTTGTAATTAGGTTGAACTTAAAACTATTTTAAAACTTTTCCATCCGTTTGTTGGTAAACAAATGTAGCTGCATAAGTATATATTCACGCGGACAGCATTTAGCTTTGACTTTGTACGTGACCCTTTATCTAGTTGCTATTGTTGATCGAAGACCTCTAAAGACTTACTTCAAACGTTATTCTATTGCTTGTAACTACCTTCAAATGTATACGAATTTTCGTAAGAATACTGTAAGTGACTAAAAAGTTATGATGAAATGTAGCTCTCCACGTTCACGATCACAATGTGTGCGGCCTTTTTTGGCCACCGATAAACCTGTGTGTGGATATATAAACTGAATGTTATGCTAATAATTAGTTGTTTAGTTTAGTTGTCTAAGTGAATTTCAGCGTTGTACATATAATAATTTACGAGATAATTAAATAAAAGTCATTAGACGGTGCAAGTCCGTGGTAATCCGACCATGTTTAGGTGGTTACAAAAAAGCGATCACCCAGTACATTGCGCTGTCTTTTAAAATGTTTAGTGTAATACACCTTACGATTTCGGTACAGTTGCGTACAGTGTTAAATACATTCAATATTTATTCATTATTATTACCTATTATTTATTTTGTTTTTTTGCCCTAATTGATCTTAAGCACTTGTTTCTTTACTTAAAATTTCTTTAGTCTTTTTTACTACCTGAGATCAATCAACAGAAAATCTGCACTGGTCCGCTAAAATTATAAATATGTAGATACATGTATGAACGATTCACCTGACTGCAATAAATGGAAAATTTAAACCAATAAGAAATCGTTTCATTTCTTTGTTTTTTTTTTGTAAAGAAATAACACTAAAGTAATTGTATTTTATTTTGGGGTGTATAGAGCTTAGACTTGAATGCATCAAAATATTTAAAGCAACAAGTCATCTACAATAAGTTAAAATAGACCGAATAGTAGAAGAATACAGTTGTAAATTAGAATGCATCAACATTGCATCGCCCAACAGTCGTATATCTCGTAAGAGTAGGTAATATTGTTCTGTGGTCTATACCGAGAACCGAGAATTATCTATACCTATGTACCTACCGTTAAGCGTTGAGCCCGTGACTGTTGATTTCTGTTAAAAACGAACAGTTGTTGAATGATATTTTGATATAATAACGGTAATTTAATTTATCGAGTGAAAGTGATACATTTTTATAGATAAAATTATTGGTCAGATAATATTTGTCAATCAAGAATCGCTGATAATACATCCTTCGCTAGAACGCGGGTGGGGAGGGGCGAAGGGATACTTCATTGTTTGCAATTTGCATCTAGTGCACTAAACTTGACCCTTACGCAGATAATATACGTGTTGTAAAGTACGTGTGCGCTACCGCTTTCTATTTTTGCAAATATTTATCGTATTCTTGAGAGTTTTTCAATATGTGTGTACCTAATTACTAATAATGGGCATTAATGCTAATTCGATTCAATTTAAGTAATTGTCAATTCTTGTCTTAGGATATTAATTACTAATGCTAATATTGAAATTTCGTTCAGGGTGAACAAATTAAAAACGATCATAACTTGTAGGTTACTTTATTAAAATTTAACTCACTGATCAAATATTTTATTTTCTCCAACATTATTACAGAAATAATGCAATACAGAGTTTGTTCGCGATATGCTAGCCTAAGTCGATTCATCACTTAAAAAATCCCCATCTATTCACAAAATACCTATTTACAACGCATACGTTACACTCTTCAAAACTTAAATTACCTATACCTACCCTAAAATTAAACTTCAATTAACAAATACTACGCAGGTAATAATTCTATGAACAACTATAAACAATTCACCTAAACATTACGAGAAAACAAAAGCATTCAAAACAATACCTAATCTCCCGGCTGATTACTAATTATGCAAGAAGCAATCCTAAATAAAAAATATTTAAAAAACATGTAGTTTTTGTAACACTTATGTACATATCCGTAGTAAACTTGCAAATAATATCCTACATATTTTAAAAGCCAGCACAATGTACTGGGTGATCGCTTTTTTGTAACCACCTAAACATGGTCGGGTTACCACGGTCTTGCACCTTCTAATGACTTTTATTTAATTATCTCGTAAATCATTATATGTACTACGCTGAAATTTTACAGGTAGACAACTGAACTAAACAACTAATTATTGGCATAACATTCAGTTTAAATATCCACACACAGGTTTATCGGTGGCCAAAAAAGGCCGCACACATTGTGATCGTGAACGTGGAGAGCTACATTTCATCATAACTTTTTAGTCACTTACAGTATTCTTACGAAAATTCGTATACATTTGAAGGTAGTTACAAGCAATAGAATAACGTTTGAAGTAAGTCTTTAGAGGTCTTATTTAAAGTGTTAGGACGTATTGAAGTGTTTTCATACTTACCTAAATAATTTTTAAACGGTCCATTATTTTTGTTATTTTATTGTCGAACAAATTAAAACTAATCCTTAAGAAGTTATGTACAAAAGATCGTTACAATCCGCTTTCCCGTTTCAGAGATCCAGCAAACCCACAAACGTTACTCCAGCAGGATTTCGAATAACTTCGCAGCCGAAGAAAATACAAATAGGTACCAAATAAGTTGTAACATTTCCTGCTGCGGTAACGTTTCAAACGTTACCCCAGCAGGAAATGTTTTTTTGAAATAACTAAAAAAGTTTAAGTGAAACAAATTTAAAAATGTGCCTAACAATTACAGAAAGGGAGCAACTAATTATCTATAACGTTTAAATGACCATTTTCGACATTATTTTGCTGGGGTAACGCACACGATTTTTTCATACGTTGTTTTGAATTTGTTTATACTGTTTGTAAAAACAGATTTGAAAAAAAAAACATACCATTCAAAAGATATAAATATAAACGTAAAATAAGGTTATTAGGTCCTAGTACTTAGTGCTTATGCACTAGGGTCTAGTTTATAACGTGTATACATACCTTGTAAGCCTCTACAACGCCTTTACTACACTCGAATCAAACGAAATATGTTGATTATTGCGTCATCAGGATGAAGGACACGCGTTTTTAATTAGTTCATCCAGTAAGGACAGTCAGTCGGCCCATGGCCACCGGCGAGTGTTATGCTATTCTGTATACTTGTAGATGCGCTCACGACAAATTACCGTAATAATAATATTGTTGTTCATGAGATATTTGTTTAGAAAAGTTTTTTAGTGTTAATAATTGTTTAGTCTTATTGCTTTCGTCATAATACACGGCAATGGTGTAAACAATTAATGTTATCGTGTGCGCAAAACTTCGTAATGTAACGAGTCCTGCTAATTTTATCTTGAAAAGCTACCTGAACCTAATATTGACAATATTAGGTTCAAATAGGTTCTGTGTCATCATCATCATCAACAGCCTTTAATAGTCCACTGCTGGACATAAGCCTCTTCTTAGAAAGGAGGTTTTGGCCTACTATACCACGCTAGCCAGACGGGTTGGTATAGGGTTTGTGTCAAGTTTTCTTTCTCTCTGCAGGGCTGTTGTTCTGCGTAGTTTTTTTCCCCTTAGTCGGCTCTTACGACACCCACGGGATGAATAGGGGTGGTGACACTCTGTATTCTTAATCTGTCACCACACGGACCAGTTGTTCTGTGTGTAGTGTAGTGTGAAACTGAGTGAATTATCAGTCTTTTAATTTTATTGGGTTATCCTGGACCTTCATAGCTGCGGAATATCCTGCCATTGACAAATACATTATGATATCAAACTTACTTGTACTTATATTCCACTATTTATAAATAAAATAAACAATTAATAAATAGTGACATATAAGTGAGTGAGTTTGATTACTCATTGTTTTTCAATAAGTTCCACCAAGTGCCGACAATCGAGAGTATAAATTATGTATTAACTAATATGACATCTCTAAATTACACATAATTATATTCACGAATACATATTCATACACTCACATATTATATAAATAAATTTACAGGGTTACACTACAGAAATACGCATAACATTGGTGCAACAACACCAACTTCGGTTACATTCTCCATTTAGGGATTTAGGCAACATCCGGCACACGCGGACGTCGCCTCCTCGCGGCTGGCCGTTATAGCAGATGGAGTCATCCGCCTTTCCACCCTTCCCCTTTTTGTTCTTCCTCTCCTTCTTTTCTTGCTTTTTATTTTTAGTATTTAAAGTTGCCATAATTAGACCCACGAGTAGTGGAGAAATAAAAGTCAACCCGGGCAGAGATCCCCCAGTAACCGGGCAAGCGTAAATTTATGCCCAACCAAGGGGTCCAGGGGGGCAGGTGCCTCGGTTGGGAGTGCGCTTGCGACTGAACTACCCATCAGCCATGCATCCCCTGGCTACGCACCAGAACACGGCATTCGGAGTATTTTTTTATAGAGGTTTTCTTCCTCACAGTCCGGGCGGCTAAGCCAAGACCCTCGTCCCCGATCGGAATCGCGAGATATAACTACGAGACTCCTCCTATCCTTCCCGAAGCAGCTGTGTCCGGAAAGTACCTGCGTCAGTCTCAGAAGGAAAGGTTCTCTTGCTGCCGCCCTGCCCATTCGATGATGACCGGCTTGAGCGCCTCCACGGCGGCAAAACCAGCATAACAGAAATAAAAAACTTCTAATTAATACTTCGAATAACAGAAATAAAAAAGTTTGAAAAAATAAGTACTTTCACTTATTGCATACAAAACGGCAATTTTATAGGTAAACACCTATTATTATGTATATACCGCGCAGGGTCAAATATTGGTAGGGCTAGGGAATTTGGGGATTTAGGTACTTAGGCGTAGGTTACGTACGAGTATTGTTCGGCTCACTACGGTGCCCGCTCGGTACACGCACTTAGGTTGTATTTTAGATAGGCTTTCGGTGTTACACGTACGAGTGCTGATTGGTGCAGTAGTTTTAGCAATTTATTCAAAGTATTGAACGTATAAAAATTGGCAAACAAACAAATCGCGTTTACGACTTTCGGTAAAATAAATTTCGTGAATTTTAGTAATAGAGAATATAATTCTTGGGCATTATGAAATTCGAAAACTTTTGAAAATCGACACATTGAAATTCGTAATAAAATATTTCGGAGTATTTGGGTGTTTCCAAATTTACAAGTTACCAGTTTACTGTACTTTGTGCCACTCTGTGATACCAGTTACCGTAGTAACAAGTTGTTACTGTAGCAACTGGTGACATGCATGTTATAATTTTTCGTTAAGTGTTTTATATTTCACAGAGTATTTTTTATCCTCCAGGTTTTGTAAGCCTTTTTATCACATATTTATGGCTACTTACGGGCAGGATGAGGAAGACGATGTTCTCGCGCCTAAAGAACCACAAGTTACCTCACAAGATCCGAGTGAGCGCAAAGCTGCACGATTTTTGCGTATTAAACGACGCCAGGAGGCACTTAAAAAGTAAGATGGTATTAATACATTTATTTACATGTAAAAACGCATCAAAATTTATAAGAGAGCTTTGTTATGTTTAAAAAATATAATTTGACGCCCGTTGTGAGTTTAAACAGGTATGGTGATGCTTAAATTCGTAAGACAAATTTTGCTATTTGATCCTTCACGCATTCGATCCATCGAGCGTATACTTTTTTTCGAAGTTTTGATGACTTGGTAAAACATAAGATGTAGGTCGTAGTTTATTGAACTCCAATCATTTTAGGAGGGATTTCCTAGCTATGCTCACTTACACCCACAGCTCACCTCTCTTTTGTATCTGAACTCTTTGTAAAAAAATAATAAAATAGGTACTATATTTCTGTCTATACTAATAAAGAATAGAGTTACTATGCCCATGTGGACATAATGTCTTGTCATAAAATATTTAGATTAGTAATTAGTATTAGTAAAATTGTTGTAGGATAAGATTGAATAAAAAAAGAATAAAATATGAGAATAATATATTTTCCTACCTATAATTAAAATTTAACGCCCAATATTCGAATGTCCCGCCTTCCTGGCCATGTTTATTAAGAATGTTGGTTTGAATCTTACATTAAAATAATATTACCTTTAAAAATAAACCCTACAATTAGTCTCAATTAGTACTTATAGTATATTCTTATTATCAATTAGTATATACTATACTCCACATGGGTCCACATGGGCATAGTAACTCTATTCTGTATAAATATAGACAGAAATATAGTACCTATTATATTTTTTTTTTAAAGAGTTTAGATACAAAAGAGAGGTGAACTCGTGCAGACTAATTGTACTATTAGACTATATTATCGTCTAATAGAGGACGGACTCAGAACTCGTGCAGACTAATTGTACTATTAGACTATAATATAGTCTATTAGACTATATAGACTAAACAGACTATATAGTACTATTAGACTATAATATAGTCTAATAGTACAATTAGTCTGCACGAGTTCTGAGTCCGTTCAGGAAGAGGAGCAACTGGTCAACTCTAGCTAAACATTGTTTATAGTTTTGGTGTAGGTCAAGATACGTTTGTAAGTTTCACTTTCTTTGTAGATTTGTGTTACTTACTTTATGTTATTATACAGTGGACTTATTACCCTATCAATAAAATAATAATAAAACTACTAAACAAATAATAATGCTACCTACTTGTAGATATGACATGATTTTAAATAAATCAGATGATTATTAAAACTAGATCATTATAATTTAGAGCTGAACAGTCTGCCGAAGAATCGGCGGGGGAAGAGGAAGCGGTAGGTCCGATAGAGGAAGCGACAGCTAATGCAGCCGAGGAACTTCAGCGATTGTCACTTGATGGCGCTGCCAAAGTCACCAATGTCAAAGTTACTACTGACGAGCGTGAGGTTTTTAGACGCACACAGTACTTTCGTAAGATGGACGGTGAGAATCATGTTCCCTTTATGTAGGTACGACCTATTATTTTCCTATCAGTAAAGGACATGCAGTGTCATAAGTAATAAAAGTTAAATCTATGTAATTGTGTTTCGTCTAAAAAAAATTTGTTTAACGAAAATGATAATATTATCGTTCAGTGATAATTTATAAGTAATAAATTAAATAAAAACAACGATTAAAGATTTCGATAAAAAAAAATAGTTTATACAAAATAGTAGCACCGATCCTGAATAAAATTGGGATAAGAGTAGACAGATCATGATAAAAATAGGAGGTAATAAGTACTTGCTTAAAATTATGGTATTCAGGCACGTAGCACGACCCAGCCCTATAAAAAATATACTTAGACATTATCATTGACAAATATTTGCAATGAACGGGAATCGACTATGCTAGACTATATATCTCGCAGATAAAATGATATGATTAAATTACAAAATGTCTGTCGTATAGGGTACACCCTGAAATAAACTAGCTTATTTTCCAATTTTAACTAATAGAGTCTACCAACAAGATTGAAGAAGAAGCAGCTGAAGCGCAAACGCAGTACGAGGTTATATCCAACCACTGGGAAAAAATGATGGCTGTAAAAGACCCTTTGGACATTGAAGCTGAAATGAAAGAGCAGAAGGAAAAATGTGACCGTTTGCTGAACCAAAAAAACGACTTGATAAGTTATCTTAAAAATGAACTGAAACGTATGGACCACGCATATTTCGAAGATTTAAACAAACAAGTAATGTAGAAATTGCGTTTTTTGCACCATGCGCAAACGCACTATGTGACATCTGTTTTAAAACTGACTTTTTTTTCTAAGTAGATCGAAAATCACCGTACACTTAAGGGTATAAATTTGACAAATTCTTAGTACCTTTTTAGTATCAACAAAAATACATTTATAATTTCTACGATAATATTGTGATATACTGGAATTCCACTTAGATAAGTTTTTAGTTAGTGCCTACTACCTACTTTTGGTTAAAGCAACTTATATTTATGAATATTCGTAATGTTTTTCGACAACTTAGTTAGTAGCTACTTATTTTTTTAGGATAACGATATCAAGGAATTGTCTGAAAGAATAGAAAAGCAAATATCGATAATGCAAAGAGCCTATGAAAAACAGCTATCATTAATTGACACAGCTATAAATATTGAACGCGAAGCAATGATAGATCACAATAATAAGAGATGGGAAGCTCTTTATAAACAACGAGATAAAGAAGAAATTGCACACATGGAATATAAAACTGAACAGGTTAAAAGCTTCACTTTTTTCATTTACATTTTTGTTATTATATTTGGATTGCGTTATTTCTTTATATTTCAATACTTGATCAAATTCGAAACAACTATGTATAACATTAATTAACTTGAGAACTATATGCTTAAGGAACCTAGTTAATTGCTGATTGTGGGACAGTTGCGATCATCATGAAGGACGTTTACATTTTATTCCTGAGTATTTCAACTTAATTCAACGCCATATCAGTGGGTAAGACTGATAAGTAAGTTATGATGGAACCATTGATCAACTTGACCTTGGTCGGTCGACTAGTCTCGTAGGTAGAAGGCCTAGTGGGAATTTTGAAAAAAATATTTAAATATCGAAATTACCACAATTTATTTATTAGACAGAACTTACGTTATGGACTTCAAGTAGTTATTTTTACTATCTTGACTTTTATGTTCGTGTTGTATGTAAAATCTAGCTCGAAGAACACAAGCAAGTGGTGGAAGCAATAATGTGGGACCATCATGAAAAATATCGTGAAGCTAAAATAGAATTAGAAACTTTAACTCAAGATTTGCAGAAAGAATTGGAGAAATTAAAATCCACTTGCATTATTAACACCGAAAAGATTGGATATACTTATCAGGTAAGGAAAATTTACAAAATATTATTTAATGGAATACCTACCGCCGAAGGAATGGACGAAATTCGCTGCCTCACTTTCGTGTAAGTGAACACTATTTGTGGCAGAACTCGCAGCCTAAGGGTCAACAGACAGGAACCAGTTAGGTAACCATCCCCGAAACATGACGACTAACTTTTTCCTTTAATAATTTGTGACAACTTGAGAAAGCATTAAACCTTATTTGTTATTAGGTTTTGAGAAAGCGTGAAGAAGAAAATTTATTTGTAAGATCGCAGCAAAAGCGAAAATTGAACAAAATGTCAGATGTTGCTAATTCGTTGAGAGCCAAAATTCATAAGGCAGCTGAAGACGGTGCTATCGAAGAAGCGAAAGCTGATGCCGAAATCGTTAAGCTTATGCAGACGATGGAAGATCTAGAAAAGAAATCAGATCAGTTTTCTCACGTAAACAATTACAAGTTTTCGCAAGTTTGGCGTATGTCTGCGGCCCGATGTATTGAGTTGACTAATCAGTTGCGGGCAGGGGAGGTCGCACTTCATGCGCATATATTAGCAGAACCCCCACCACCTCCACCACCGCCGCCCCCTAAAAGTCCTTTGACTCAACACGGTAATGGTTTATAGATTTGCTATTTTTTTTATGTATTGACTCGAACCGTTGACTAAGTAAGTGGTAAACTGAACCTATTGTCATGTATTTAGTACCTATGGTTTTATATGTCTCTAAAATAACATTGATGTAATAACATATAACAATAACAATTAAATTCACAAAGAATAAACAAATAATTTATGCGTATCCAGTATATTATGTACGTAAATAGTACATATATTGGCGATGTAAGCCATCTTTTACATTTTAGAAACTAATCTAAAATAGGTTAATATATCTATACCTTTTTGATACCAATAAATAACACGTTCAAATTTTACCTTACTTAGAACATGAGTTTGCACTTAGAAAGTTAGGCGAGACCAAAGAGGAAGTCTGCACAACTCCCGCTGATAAGGCAGCTGCTGAAGCTAAAGAAAAATTGGTAAATATGTACTCATTCATACATTTTATTTATTTGTTATTTGTAAACCCGTGACATCAATGATAAGAGCTCTTAACTTCATTTAGATTCGCCATATTCTACAACTTGTGGCAGACAACACTGGATTTTTAGTTGAAGATCGTTTACTAAAACTTATAGGGAAATACCAATTGAGTTCCAGAAATTTATGTACACTGGATGCTATTTTTATGGTAAGCTAATATAAATATATTTTCTGAATATGTAATCACCATGACATAATGTTTTTAAGTACGCTAGGTTACTTTTATAACATTTGACATACCTACCTATCATTTATCAATGGAACATTCCGTAACATTACATTCGTAAAAAAAAAACCTTTAGATTTAAAATACCCTGCAAAATTATCGTCAGATTTTTGGCTAGCATGACAAGAACATTAAGCTGAACCGTCTGTACAAAATCTAATACGCTCGGGTGCTTCCACAGTTCGCATTTTAGATAAGTCGCTACGAGTTTGTGCCACTTTAAATTCTTCAGAGCTTTCAATGGGTGCATTTTTGGCATCCAACTTACATATCTCCAGAATATCAGAGGCGCCCGAATTTTTCTTTCGATTTCCTTCCCTTACATTTTTGAAGACCTGTAGAAGCTTTTCCAACCGCTGAAAGTGGAAACATTTTATAACTTTTATTTACTCTATTACCTAATCTTTCAAATGAAATAGGTCCCCATGACGCATGAGTAAATCCCCATTTAGCATCACGGGCTCCCCTACTATCAGTATATTACTTCAGAAGTCTGAAATCTATTGTCAAAATCTTGAAATCTGACAGATTTTTTGAGGACAAAACTATAGGACATTAAATTCTATGTTATTGTGAACTTACTATTCGACTGCTCTTACTCCTCGTAATTAAAAAAAAATTATACCTATTATTCGCTTTTGTTACTAGGCGCTTGAAATTCAAGCAGAAGAAGATATAGAACTTTTATGCAAGACATTTTTGAATTATTCATTTTGTCCAATCTGTGTTGGATTGGAAGGTGCATCAGACACGATAGCACCACAATCTGAAGGTTCAGGACCCGAAGCATTGTCCGGTGGAGATTCTGCATCTATTGTCAACAAGGGTATGTATTATGGCTGCCATCTTTTTTTATGCACAAAATAGGGAGGGAAAGGAGCTGGCGTGTCAACTTATAGTAGGTGACTACCGCTGACCATGGACACCTGTAATTCAAGGTACACAAGTGCGTGGTATAGGGTGTTCTGCTTGAGCCCCCTTTAATCTCACTCACTTTGTGAAAAGCAAAAGAAAAAAATCAAAAGAGTTGCTTAACATCGATGTTCTATGAGGTGTGAGTGATACCGATAACCGGTCAACCGAGCCCATGTGTGTCGAAGCATTCCTTTGCCTCCACGGTTTTCGACATTTTCAAAAATTTACGTCTAAATGATTAATTTATAATATTTTTTTTTTAATAAAACCTGATTTCAAATATAATTCATACCAACTTTTTTTGAAATTGTCTTCAATTGAAAATTGAAAATCTTATGAATAAAAAATAATTATGTAAAATTGGTACAGAATTAATGAACAGGTTTATCACACGTAGGGGATTAACGTATTCGCTAATTTATTCACTCCATTTGCCGCGTGTCCCTTTCGTTAGGACAGAAGAGTTAAAAAATATTGTGGAAGCTGACGGGGCTATACTTAAAATCGTTGAAACAATTTAACACTGGGCAGTGTTAAATTGTTTCAACGATTTACCGACCAGGTCATAACTATGACCAGCAACATATGAAACGATGGTTCTTTGTTTCAGGCGCGAGACAGTCACTCCGGGGTCGTCCCAGTATGCAAGCTAGAAGTATTTCGGCTAGCACATCTCGCTCCGCTCACATTGGTTTCAGGTTATATCCATTATTATTATTAGGGTGCCGTCCGACCATTCGCGAACCCTCACGGACGGTCATTCATGTTTTTGTCTGATAATTGGCTCAATTTTCGAAGGCATAACTATATTGGACATTGACAGTGTCAAATAAATATATTTTAAATAATTATATGATAACTCTACAGTTTTGAAGTTATTTAAAGAAATAGATGAAAAATTGCCATATCTCCTCCTCTCAATAAGGTAGGATTGGTATAGTGCAATGATTAGTGCAGTAGTCCTTTTTAGAATACCTATTTACTGTTCGCATCGAAAGGTTCGTTTGTTTTATGGTAATAATACAGCATGTGTTTATGTACAATACTTTTGTACAATTAATCAGTCGTATCAAAGATAGAATCTATCGAAAAACTTACTAGTACAATGGACCCAATGCATGGTCAATAAATTTTATACAGTTGAGAGCTTAAAACATTTAAAATTAAATAATGTTGATAAATCTATCTCCTAAGGCGGACTTAAGGAAAATAACAGACAAATGCAATTAGGGCTATTCCTTGGACTTTCGACTTTCGAACACCATTCACAAAGCCTTATTTTAATTGCTATTACAAACATTAAATTGAATTGAATAGGAGTCATGAATTATCACCATGCGACCAGCTGCTAATGAGCGAGGCGGATGAAATTATACAAAAATGCGGCGACCCACAGGGTGAGTTTAAAAAATTTGTCCATATAAAGAAAATATTTGAATATATATATATTAAGCTCATATCTTTTACAATAGCAAAGTGCTTAATACAAACAAGTCTCCTCTGATTGTTAAGCGTCTTTTGAATGCTCGCAGCAAAAGCTGAATAATCCTTTCCCTCCATTTTAGCAAATCTGTTCACCAAATGTTCTGAGTTGTTGAAATTATGTGAAAAAAAAACAACGCTCAGGTATTTCATTGTAACGCTGCTCAAAATGAAGGAGTATCCCGACCGTATTAGTTAGTCCTTACAGGAAGTTTCATACCTACTATTTACTACTAATAAGGTAATTTTGGACCCTTAACTTTAGGATAGAAAAATTTCTTAGTGGGGCACTAAGAAAATTTTCACCACGTCGATAGTGGGTAACTGGGGACAGTTACCCACTATTGACGTGGTGTTAATTTCAAATCGAATGAGATATTGTCGTGATATTTCAATTATTAATAGCTTAAGAGCTAGGACCATAGAATCTGGTGACAGGACATTTTAAGCTGTACTTCTTGTGTGCTTAGTCTTAAAAAATGGAAATCCTATGTGTACTGGCTGTTTTGAAAGCGGGAGTTCAACCCGGTATTAAGGATAAAACTTACATAAACTTAAATAAAATGTAAAAATCCAATTTAAATTACTTTACAATTAAAATATAAATTTTTAGCAGCGACAATCATGATGACTGGTGGTACGCCGGACGCAGGCTCCTTGGCAGGAAGAAGAGTTGGTACTAGAGGGGTTACTGTAGCGGAGCAACCAATAGAGGCTACCATGATGAAACCGTCCAGCCCTTTCGTGTGTCCATGTCAGTAATAAGTAAACATGTATATTTATATTTAGAGCCTTGTCAAATTTTAAACCGATGAGTTTCTTAAATTCTGAGGTTAGCCATATTCTTATTAAATATTGGCGCGCTAAGGAGCTCATGTAAAAAACTAAAACTAAAAACTCCCATCACTTCTGTCACTTTAACTTTTCTTGTATCATATTTGATTAATAAATTATTTAACAGAAAAGATGCAATAACTTTTAGCGTCATGTCAAAAAGTGTCATGTCATATATGTATTAAAACGACCTTTTTTTCAGCCTGGCAATATTATTAGCAAATGCATTTAAGTGGTTTGTGTGGAGGTTCTCCTACCACCACAGACAATCGGTGTTCTGATGTGCTAATGTTGCTTAACTGTGTTGTCTTTAGGTAGACCCTGTGGCAGACTTAGTTAATCTTTCCCTCCGCGCTTGCTAACTACTTGAATGTGAAATTCCATCATGCCTTATTGACCATAGGATTTATATACTTGTGTGATAAATTCTCTTTCTGTGTATGTTATTTTTCAGTGGGTCATGTTTTGGAAATAGAGCCAATGCAGGTGTTGACAGCGTTAAGTGATTTCATAGCAGTGTTTGTGCCCCCGGAGAAGAAGAAACTTTATAATATATTGTTAGTAGCATCTGTGTTTTTTTATTATTGGAATGGAAAGATTATTCCATAATACCTACTGGAGTCTATATGCATAAAAGTTACTTATTTATACTACGCTCCTTGGTTATTCCATATGGTTATTATTTATTATTATTATCATTATTAAAATTCCACAAATCAAAATTCTACAAATCGTAGCGCGGTAGTGCAAGTAGTGAAATCAGACGATATTTGTCCTAGATGGGAATCGAATCAACGACCTCTGACTTAGTAGTCAGGATCACCAACAGATTATTTATTGATAACGTAAGGAATCTAAAATAACTATATATACATATTCTTTAGTCTGCTGCCGCTGCATCGTTAGATAGGTCACTTTTTTTTAAATATCTACCACACTGAAGTTTTACTGGAGTCGTGTCAAGTTCAAAGCTTTTTTTGACATACGGTTTATGTGGTGATTACAGGGACAGCTTAAAACCTCCAAGTTTCGATACTCCGTCTCGCAAATTGACCCCAGAGGAAATAGACAAATACTGGACACAGTGGAAGAATGTTTTTTCTCCTGAGAAAGATAAATTTTGGGATGGAATATTGTTCGGACTTAACGATTATTTGGCTATTCTACAAGGTAAGTTATATTAGAAAACAAAGAGAGGTATTTATTTAAGAAGTCATGAAATTGACAGTTTACAAAATATATACAAATGTTGTGTACATAAAACTTTGTTTTACGAAAATATATAATTATTATTATTTGCTACATAAGCTCAGTTTTATCAAGAAAATCTGGGGTAGAATAGGTCATAATTATATGGATCCATGAACAATTAAGGTCAGCATAAATGATACTGAATCGTGTTAGTGCTATTTAGGGATTAAGATTTTCTTGTAGGCAAATTTATGATTAATTACAGCTAATTATTTAAATATTAAGTTCTAAACTTCCATATCAATAATAACTGTTTAGAAGTTTGATAAACTCAAATTATTGCAAACTTAATTATAAGGTATATTAGATATAGAGCTCCCCTTTCTGTCTTCTACTTTTTCTGTGTCCAACAATGTCCATAATTTGAATAATAAAATTAATAATGAAAAAAAAATAGTGATAATACACCACACCTATTATTAAAGATCGTTAACAATGCAAAGGGGTACAATAGAATAGATTGATATTAAAATTTTTCACAGTATTGTTAACAGTGCTGTACGGTGTACTTAGGTAATTATTAATTTGTTGTAGCTCTAAAATATTCTCATTTTATCGCTACATGTAAAAGTCAATTTTTCAACGGGAAAATATTTTTTCTGATATTAAAAATTAACAACTTTTGGTTTTCTCTTTGAAGCGTTCGGATATGTGTGTAAACCCAGTAATTACATTTAAATGGTCATATCTTTAATTGTCTTAACTTTAGAGTTTGGTTGAGTCCCATTTTTTACAGATTCTAGGGACCGCATATATTTTGATCGTTTTGCAGCTTCTGCAGTCCAATGTCATTACTTGTTACGAAATTTACAGAACGTGAGAGAGTTCATGAAGAAGTAGTACAACTTCGACGTCGGAACGCAGCTCTTCGTAGATTGATCCGCGGTGCGTTACCCGAGTTGCCTGCAGTATTGCCAAAATACGCGCGCCCATATCCACGTGCGTTCACAGCAACGATCCCTGATGACGCAGCAGTTGCATTTGCTAGATTACCACCTATTTAAAACTTCATTTATTTTTATATAAAAATACGTATTGTTCTCTAAACGATCATGTTATATTCTTAATAGGATCCAATTATATAATAATTACATTTTTGGTATAAAAATCAGTCTTTCCATTAAATTACCAGATTCGTTGCAATTTGATTGTTAATACAAGGAATCAAGAGATATTGTTCATTTCTTATTCGCTTCATTATTATTGAATCAAAGTGCTGATTATTTACCTCATTTGTGGTGTTAGAAGTAATAATAGTGTCACTATATTTGTGTTTGTTGTCGTTTGTGTACCTATATTATTAAATAGTAGGTACACACATCGCCAGTATCCAATAATAAAATTAAAAAGCTTTATGATTGACAGCGTTTTTCGTCATTCTATAATAATCCGTAATGCATTTTCTACAACTTGTCCGGCGACCGAGACAATACATACAATCCAGTTATTTCTTCTTCTATTAGGTGTAGGCAGAAATCTGCGTGCTCATATTCTGGGAAGGAAGAGGTGCTATACACTGCTACAACTCAGCTGTAATAAATATCTGTGGAACTTATAACTTAACATCATTTTTCCTAGAACTGTTTTAATAACTTAACATATAAAGAGGATAGTTTTATAGATAGCCAAAGGTAAGCATACACTCAAAGTTCATACTAACAGTACTTTATCCCATACATTTTTTTTCTGAGAAAATAAGCCCTGGGATCTTGGACTATAAAGACTGCATGGGATGATATGTAGATATAAAGTATTGGTTTTTTATTATAATTATAATAAAAAAATCCGTGATGACTAATCATTAAGTTAATTTTTTTATTTTTCGTAATAACATTTCAGTGTAAAGCATTGCATTGGTTGCTTAATATTTTTATAACTAAATAAAAAGTTTGTTATACATTACAATGCATTTAATTTGATGGTATATATTCACATATATATATTTTTTAAGTTTGCATTTTTTCCTTTTTCATAAACAATTTTTGCATTTACTATTTTTTGAGTTGGCATCACGGCTTAGTTTAACTTAGTATTCTGAAGGGAAGAACGATATCTCTGAGGTATCGATATAGTATCGGTCGTAAAGTATCAATACTCTACGACCGATACTAAATCGATATAAAAATATAAGCAAAAGGAATTTTATGAAAAAATGACGGTTTTCGTAGTACTCCGCAAAGATAATAGTGAATGCAAAATAGACACTACTAATTGGCTAATAGGCTTGAGCTAAGATGAGACAGAAAATCTTTTACAAATACTTTCATAGGGATCTATTTTACTGGACATAGCATTATTATTATGTGGACATTCACTAATTCCCACAACGTACCATATGTTTTTTCGTCTACTACTAAGTAATACGTCTTTTTCCCGCGCTTCACACAAACGCACTACGTTTATCTATCATAACAAGTGCGCGCTTTCACATAAATGCACAATCACTTACACTCTACACACACACATACACACCTTAGATCTTAATTATTATTAATAGAATTACCGTAGTTTTATATTTTCTTTGTGGGTGCTGAAACACTGTTTGAAAGTTATTTAACATTGATATTTTTCGGCCCTTAGGGTGGGCCTGGAGATCTGCCATACAGGTTTCGAGCCTAGTATAGACTCCAGCTCTCACTCAGGAACTTTATATTACTTTATTTTCACACATGTAAATATAATACTCTGTAACCTACTGTTCCTTATGAAAGAATTCAAGTTATTATTATTATAATTTAAATGACAGCGCAGTTTTGTTTGATTATAAGGTATTGAAATACGTACTTAAGACTTAAGTTTATGTTCTTAAAATGTCACTACAATTACAAATTCAGACTACTCATGATACTGTTACGAGCTGGGTATATAAATATTAAAAGTTGTCAGTAAATTACTTTATATTTCACTTTATTTACAAACACTCACTACTAGGAATCACTATATATCTTGTTAGTCGCACTAGAAATTTACTCCGATGTTAATTCGCTGTGTCGTAAAACGAAACTGTGTCGAACGGCCACCACCCTTCGCTTTTATTGCGCTTTTGAATTTTACTAGAAAGTTCCTAAAGTCGTCACAAAATAAGAAGCCCGTTTTGAAGTTTCTCATTTGACATGCCACGATAACTTTGTATGAACGTCTATGTAAAAAATTGAAAAATCAAATTCATAATCCTATTTAATTACTATGTTACCCATACACTATCACAACGCGTATCATAAATAAGCACCAAGTTTAACTTTATATAGAAAAAATGCACTCAAAACACGAATTAATCGTTGATTAATATTCCGACAGGACTTTACTACAATGTCATGTCTTTGGGTTGGTTGCCGTAGTGTTGTAACTGTTAAAAAGCCGTTTTATGGCCGAATAAAATAGTTTCTGAAAATCGTTTACAAAAATTACATTAAAAAAAGAGATAAATGTGTAATTAGTGTATTATTTCATATTTAAACATATAAAAACAAAATCTGATCACATGTAGTTTTAGCTTTATTTTGATATTTCATATGAATATTTTGATATTATACTAAATGATTTACTTTCTCTATGTACCTATAGAATGGGTTGTCTATGACCAAGTGACACGTGATCCATGCGCGTACCGCGTACTGCTCAGTCTTTCGTTCGACATCTTGTGAAGTTGACCGTGCGCTCGTTTATGTTTGATATTTTTTCTAGACTCGGCTTTGCTTTTGGGCTGTTTTTGTTTACTATCACGTTGACCTTGGCTCTTCTCTTCCGAACATTGATTAGACATAGCGATTTGGACTCGATTTTGGTGTTTGTTATTATATTGTACAAACTCTGTTTCAACATGTTGAAAAGAGGACGTACAATCAACAGCCAATCACGCGAATTGGTTGTGAAGTTAACCGTATACTTCGAACGCGAATCAGTTAATGGTGGACCATTATCACCCGTAACTCAAGTGCAAGATCGCGTAGCAGAAGCACTTGGAATCGGCAAAAAAACTATTCGAACCATTTTGAAGAAAAAGTATGGGCCTTCCGGTACTGAAGAAAATGTGTTACATACGCCTAAGAAGAGGAAGAAAAGCAAGCCTGTAACAGGTATTGACACATTTGACGCAGATGCTATTCGAAACCACGTATATGCTTATTACACGAGAAGTGAGTACCCAACTGTAAGTAAGTTGGTGGTATCACTAAGAGAGGCTGGCCTGTTTAGTGGCAGTACAACATCTTTAATAACAATTATGAAGCAAATTGGTTTTAAATACAAGAAAACCGACAAGAGGAAAATTATGTTGGAACGATATGATATAATTTTGCACAGAGTATCATTCTTGAGGCAAATGAACAAAATTACAAATTGGGATAATGTCATATTTATCGATGAAACTTGGCTGAACTCGAATCATACTGTGCCACAGTCATGGACGGATGATACCAAGGCATCTTGTTCAAAACTGCCAATGGGTAAGGGTGGACGCCTAATAATCTGCCACGCCGGATCAGCCGGGGGAGGTTTTGTGCATGATGCTCTACTCGCATTCGACTCCAGAAGTACAAAAGAATACTACGAAGAAATGGATGCAAATAAATTCTTAGAGTGGTTTACTAAGTTGTTAATAAACCTCCCCGAACAGTGCACAATAATTATGGATAATGCACCTTACCATTCAGTTCAAACAGATAAGGCACCTACTCAAGCAAGCAAAAAGGCAGATTTAGTGGCGTGGTTACAAAGAAAAAGCGTAGAAGCTGACAGGAATTTATTGAAAGCTGAACTGCTGGAATTAGTAAAACCAAATAAACCTGCAAAATTAAGATATAAAATCGATGAATTGGCACTTCAACATGGTCACAAATTGATAAGAACGCCGCCGTACCATTCTCAGTACAATGCTATTGAATTAATCTGGACTCAGGTCAAAGGATACGCAGCACGTCATAATACAAAGCCACCATTCTCCACTAAGAATATGATGACATTGTTAAAAGAAGCTTGTGATAAAATAACTAAAGAAGTTTGGGCAAAAGTGGTAGAAAAGACGCGAAAAATAATAAAGGAAGATTATGATAGAGACGTCAATATTGATAATATTATAGAAAATGAAATAATTATATATATAGGCGACGATAGCTCATCTGGCTTGTCATCAGAAGAAAATGATTGATTTCACTTTTCTTGATTTTGTTGTGATTGAGCTAAATTTTTAAATTAAAGTCAAATTGATATTTCTTTCCATTGTATCATTTCAAATTGCCTATAACATTAAAGTTTAAGTTATACGTTCTAATTATAACTTAAATCTTAACTCTTAACTTAAATATATAGTCAAATCAATCAAATACTCTACAAGCTTGAATCGATTTATCGTAAGTATCGTGCACCGAGTCGTATGGTTAATCACTAGTTACGACACCATGACAAATGTCAAAACGGGCTTCTTATTTGGTGACGACTGTAGTCCGTTCCAGACAACACGAATATTCCAGAAGCAGTTACTTGAAGCGCCATCTAGGGCTGTAAGGATCAGAATTACTCGTATTAACCACAATCTTAATAGATGTACTTGGTCGATACTAGATGGCGCTGTCTTCCACATTCCATACAATCGTACCATTTAAGCCTATGGCACAACAATACTAATCAGTGCAAATTCAAACTAATAAATTAACTAAACTTGATGGTTGATGATACAACACTGTTTTTACATTGTCATAATCATAACGTAGCAACCCACCAAACGTCATGTGAGTCTATCTTAAAAATCAGACTTTACACAAAATAGGGAAAAGAATATGTTGAAAAAATTCAATAAATGATGACCAAAAAAATTTTTTTACAGTGTAAATGAGCTTTTTATGTTATTGGTATACCGATACGAGTACTTTTGACGGCAACCTACTTGATACTTAGTTTAAAGTATCGATACAAAAAGTACTCGATTGATTCTCGGTATCCGAAAGAATGTATCGAGTAAGTACTTGTAGTTACTCGTATCGTTTTATCCGTTACTGATTGTCATCAGTTGAGTTGATCAGTTTAATAAATTATCATTTGCAGAGCATAAGAGTTGGAAAAAATATTCCTTTAATATAGGTAATAAATATTTATGAAAAACTAGGATTTACACATAAAAATTAAAAATCAACAGCTGCTTATGTTTGAAATTAGTGGCTTATTGTTAGAAATGAAACTTTCTATTAGCTTATGTTATTCAAAAATGCAGAAATAATATTTTATAGTTTTATTTTTAGATAAAAGTTGCACACGGAGATAAGTAAGGTTACTATAAATTTTGTTTTTTACAGAAACTGCTACAATGTTAAAACCTGCATTTCATTTATTTGGAGCCATTCAGTTTTTCTATGGATGTTATTATGACTATAACTATGTGAATATTCCTAGTAATTCAACTACAGTCACACCATATGGGGGCAAATTTAAATATTTGACATATTTAGATGCGGTAAGATTTATGTATATAACTTAAACATGTTTTAAATTGTTGATCTTTATAGTAAAGCCATTATATAATTTTATTTCCCCTTTGTAGATGATACAAACTGCATACTTCACACTGGCGCTTTTAAATGATCTTGTTGGTACAAATGAACCGTCACCTTCACACAAACCCTTGATAAGAAGAGTTAAAGATGTAGTGTTTAGTGCTTTAGCATTTCCTTTGGCATTATTTGTAGGAATAACTTTTTGGGGTATTTATGCTGTTGATAGAGAACTTATTTTACCGAGGAGCATAGACCCATATTTCCCTTTGTGGTTGAATCATGTAATGCATACTAACATAGTTGTATTTATTCTTATTGATCTCCTCACATCGTTCAGAATGTATCCTTCAAGAAAAATTGGATATTCTATTCTCACTTCTTTCATGTTATGTTATCTGGTTTGGGTACACATTATTTACTTTAATACTGGTTTTTGGGTATACCCTATACTGAATGTTCTGAATTGGCCTCTAAGAGTATTTTTCTATGTGTTCTGTCTTGGTCTAATATGGTTTGCATATTCAGTGGGTGAAACCATCAATAAGTCAGTTTGGTCTACTGAGGTTGAAAAGACTGTCAGATCTGGGAAGAAAAAAGCCAAATAATGGAAATTCTGTTCTAGATAGGCAATAGTTCAGCTTTGTAGCCCATAACTCAGGTTTCAAATTTTACATATTGGTAAATGGTTCTAAGGTAGGTAAAAGTTCAATAGGGTTATGGTTCTGATAGTATGATTAGAAAGATAAGAGTAAAATTTAGTAAGTCTAGCTTAGTCTAAATTGCTAATAACCAGATGCTTGTGATTTAATGAGTTTTTTTTTTTTAACTTAATCTATATTGTAGATTCAAATGTAAATAAACATTATGTATTCTACATAATCTTTATGTAAATTTTATGTTTAGTATTTTATACAAATTTAAATTAAATGTAATTGCACAGTGGGTATAGCATACAGGAAAATATTTTTTTATGTAAGCATAAACAGTCACACATATTTGTTGTACTGGAATCAAACCTACAAAATTCAAGGTGAAAGTTTAATGCTCTAATGCCACGAAAAGGGTCTTCCTAACGAACATGTGAGCATAAAAATTAGGACACCTAACAATGCCCTATGGTTTTTATATATTACATTTAGTTTTGGGTGTTAAAATTATATGTAAAACAAAGTTTAATTACATATGTGTTAAATGTTGTTCTAAATATGCAGTCCATAGGATAAGATTTTGTAAGTGAACTAATTTTAATGCAGACCAGTTATTTAGTAAATTTTTAAACAGTTAAAGTTTCAAACATACTTTAGTCCTACATACTTTAGTCCTGACTATTGACATATATTTTAAATATATTTTGTTCCAAAGTGATGATTAGGTAACCCCAGTGATATTAAAAAATAATACTGATTCCCACCATTCTGATGTATATGGCCAATATTTTTATTGTTTTGTACCAGTTAAAAAGACGGTACTAAATAAATTGGTTAAAGATTAATACTGGTTAGTAATTACTGTCAGTTGACAACTAAGTATATTATTGTATAAAATGCACTGATAATAAGAGTGGAGGGCCATTCTTCAGCACATTTAGGCTGGCTTTTACCGAGTGAGTGAGTTCAATAAAGGTTTATTCACGGAGGGGCACTTCATACACCTGCATATCTTGAGTTAGAGGTTTGAAAAAAAATAGAATATGTGCAAGCATATTTATCTATGTTCCAATTAAACAGTGACCCAGTCAATGATAAAGCATTTTCTGTGTTGGCCTTAACTTCGTGAATCGTCATTCAATATGATGATATTTAACGTAATTGTGTACAACAGCTGTTGTTCAATTATCTCCTTGAAACAATGACTGTTTTTTATAATAATGTCGAGAAAAGATAAATAATTACTGATAATGCTGTTAATATATTGTTGGTTGTGATTCAGCAATAAATTACTGTTAGTGCTGCATGATTAGATTGGCTTACGAATTAGTTGCAAATGAACAAAAATTGATAAATCATGGACTTTGTATTTAAGTAAATAGATATACCTAGCTACTTTACACGTCGTGTCGCAAATTAACACATAAAAGTTGATATGTATTAAAAATAAGTTGTAGCAAGCCCTGACGTCGCAAGGAGCAGCGTCGCAGCAGTTACGGTTCTTGACATTTATAAAATATTTAAATATTATGACTTTGATTCTTTACTTTTTAACTAGCTTTTGCCCGCGGCTCCGCCCGCGTGTATACCTATCGGTGGTAAAAAGTAGAATATGTTACTCGCTGATAATGTCGCTTGCCAGTGGTGAAATAATTTTTAAAAGCTGTTTAATGGTTTAGGCGTGAATGCGTAATGTAATGTTAATTTTCAAAAATGAATGATTTGATTGAGACGTCCATCAGGAATAACGGACGGAGGTTGGTGGTCATGAATGCTGTATATCTGTACCAAATCACCAATATTTATTAGGTAATGTTGAAAATGAAATTATTTGTAGAAAACATTTTAAGCATTTTCGCGAATCCTTAAAACTTGGTAAATTGTTGTTCTTATATACAAATAGGACAATCTTTTATCTACACAAATGTCTCCACATATATACGAGTATATATTTAATTGATATGTTTAAAACACAAAACAGGTAATCAATTGTTATATATTTTTAGTCTAATTCTCAAAATTTGAGTTACATTACTCAAATTTGGTTTGATCTGGTAGAGGTATAATTTATTTTATGTGATGGCATGTAAATATGTTTAAATTTAGTATTTTTTTATTTCTTGTTTTTTTTTTGTAAAGACTATAAATTTTAAGGAGTGGAATCAAACCTATCAACATTCTGATAAAAATACATTCCAACTAAACTGATGTGGGTTATTTATTTATTTACTGTATAGCATTTTAACATGGATCTCACATTAAATGAAAATACCGACTGTTAATATCCTAAACGCAAAATAATGTTGTCTAAGTATATTAATATAGTCTTCTGTTAAAGAGTATCAATTAAGCCTAAATTCCATAATTCAGTACAGTAAAGATTATTTCTTGCGTATTTAAATCATATTTTGTGTGTAAAATTATAAAGAAGACTATTACTAAACGAATTAGTATAATTTATGTTTAATTAGTATAATTTATGCATGTTTTTATTAGTAATGTGATGTAATGAGATGCAGTCATACGTAAAATGTATAAGCGTTCAATGGTCAGCTGGCTTCCGTACAGCACATGTAAACAAGAGCCATTTAACATTTTTCCACAATGGCCGGCCGGTGATATGCTGTCGATCACTAACATTTGAAAACGTAACATAAAGAATTACAAGCTGGTGATATTATACACTCGTAAGCTTACTTGTAATAATTATTAATTAAAAAAGATAGACAAGTGAAAAGTAATATGTTATTAAGTAATTCCCTGATCACGGGATCGCGATCAGGTTGTTTATAATAGAGTAATCTTGTAGATTGGTTAAAGCTTTTAGAATTTTAATTACGTAACGTAGATACGAATAGTTTCTGATTTTAAGATAGACTTTACCTATTCATGTTTTTCAATCATTTAATCGGCCTCTAGACGATGTTTGCTGAAAAAACGGGTATAATGAAAAATTATCTATATAATCGAATTTTGAATCTCATTCTTCAAACTCTTATTACTTTTATTTTGGATAAGCTATTTTGGTACCTGATCGATCTTTACATGGTGTAAGGTCAAATACAAAAATATCATCATCAGTTTCAATTCGATGTCAATTCAGCAGTCGTTTAAAATAATTACTTCAATTGACCCCCGATTAATGAGTAGTCGAGGATTCTGGAAGCCCAATAGCATTATAGCAGCCTTACTCAAAGTCCCTAAGGATAATAAGTAGTTACTGTAACGCAGTCAGGTTCGTCTTATCAGTTTTTAATAAATGAATTTCAAATAGAGCTCTAATTACCTCTAGAATAGGCTCCATCCCGATGATATGGAACTGCTCAGGTCCAAGAGCTTGTGTTTGCTACGAATAGAGTAATAAAACTCTTTAAATAACTATCTACTATATTAGATCACGGAATATTACAGCAAATTTTAAAAACTTACATTTCGAGTGTATAGGCAATAATTTCGTTTTCGAAAGTTTTTAAAGATCAGCATTGTGTAGGTCATATTCTTTGTGGTAGTGTGCCTACTTTGCCTAAATGCAGTAATGAAGTGTTCAAATTATGTGAATGATTATAACCATGGTTACTATCTATAAAGCAATAATTTTTATAATAAATACATTGTTTTATGTCTTGTTTCATTTATTTTTCCATATGTTTTTAATATTTAAAGGGTTATCATAAAGGTCACTTGCAATAATCGATAAGAAACTGCGTAGACGTGTAGCAACCATACAAGTTACGGCAATCGTAACTGTAGATGGGTAGAAGGTTTAACCCATTGCGTTAAAATGGTTTTAAACCGGGTTTTTGGTTACTATCACCCTAAAAATTACTAATAAAAAAACTTGTTTTAGTTTTGTCGAGCAACTATCACTTCGAGCAATCAATTGTGACGATTATTTTTTTCGAATAGATCACATAATACCTAATAGAAGTTGTATTTTTGTTTTAAGGATTTCACCTGTTTTGAAATTTTCAGTGTTTTATAATCTGTAATGTTTAATTACACGTTTGTTTCTTTTGTCTCCGCCGAATGAACTCTATCGTTTATGAACCGAATAGATATTTTTTTTTTAGAACGGATTGATATGCAAAGAGATTATTCCTATTTTGACGAAAACCTTGTTCTGACGATGGGGTTAATTTTATTAAATAAAACAAGTACATACAAATCATTGTACCAAATGAGCATGCAAAATGTTAATCAGCAACTCAGAATTGTCACGAACTTTTAATAATAGTTCATACTCTCATGTTGTGGCTGACATGTTTTGACATAGGATGATGAGTCGACCTTACTTTTATTAACGTCAGTTCTGTTGTACCACTGATCTGGTCATCGGTGCTTATGCATTCATTAAATATATTTTTATTTATTATATTCCAATTCTATGAAATAAACGTTACTTTAGATGCTCTTTCTGCTATAAGACGATTCCGTTTAACCCAGCATTTACTAACGGTACGGCTGGTCCACAAGTTCAAAGTCGCTCAACGTGCTATGGAAAGGGCTATGCTCGGCGTTTCTCTAAGGGATCGCATCAGAAATGAGGTGATCCGGCAGAGAACTAAGGTCACCGACATAGCGTACCGGATCAGCAAGCTGAAGCGGCAGTGGGCTGGCCATATTAGCCGCAGAACCGATAACCGTTGGGGAAAACGAGTTCTTGAGTGGAGACCGCGTCTCGGCAAACGTAGTGTAGGACGCCCACAGGCCAGGTGGAGTGACGATTTGCGCAAGATGGCTGGCAGGAGCTGGATGCGAGAAGCCCAAAATCGATCTAAGTGGCGTGCAATGGGAGAGGCCTATGTCCAGCAGTGGACTGCGATAGGCTGATGATGAATTCTATGAAATAAACGTTACTTTAGATGCTCTTTCTGCTGTAAGACGATTCCGTTTAACCCAGCATTTACTAAGGGGTGGGGCAAAAGTAAGTACACTAGATAAATGACTGGAATTTAACA